ATAAAGCTTTTTATTTTTATAAATAGATTATTTATAAATAATAAGGACTTTACTTTATAACTAGAATTTATTATTATTTTTACTAATAAGGTACCTATAAGTACTACTATAGGTAATAGATTTACTATAACTAGTAATATTATTTACTTTAGCTTAATAAAGTATAAGTAAGTTACTTAAAGTGTACTAGCCTTTAAGATCTATAGTATAGTTACTAATACTAATATTACTTATACACTTAGTATAACTATTATAATAATTACTAACTACCTTAAGCTACTATATATACTAATAATCTTTTATACTAACTTATACTTACTTTATAAGTGCCTTATTAAGCTTAGGACTATAAAAAAAAAAGGCTTATAATTAATATTATAGCCCTTTAGTAGTTATATAAGTAATATAAAGTCTATAAGGTATAATAAATATAAGGTAATAATAATCTTACTAATAGATTTACTAAATTATTACCTAATAAGGCGCTAGAATAACTAGTTAGAAATAGGATAGTTTAGATTAGTATAGAGGGATAGGTTTCTTAAGCTATATAATAGATTATATAGACAAAAAGTATTAAATACTTTTATGCTTTTAATTTTTATTACGTTTTTAAGCTTTTTAGCTACTAGGTAGTATTTAGGCTATTTATAGCGATTTTTTTTTACTTTAGAAAGTTACTAGTGTTAGGATATTTAACTATTTAATAGTAGAGCTAATCTATAGTTATATGATTTACTATTATATAACTTACCCTAGTGGCTTACTTATACTACTATAAATATTTATAGTAATAACTTCTTCTTCTTTTTCTTATTATTTATCTTAATAAGTAACTAGTAGTTAATTAAACTATTACTGCTTTATAATTATAATCCCTATAATACTAATAATAATATTAATAATAATCTTATAGTTAAAGTTATATTTATTATTATATAGAGTAAATTTAAAGTAACTAGGCGCTTTTATATTTATTTAGTAGTAATAGTAGACCTTAGTTAATTTCTTTAAGGCTGTAATCTTAACTTTATTACTAGATTATTAGAGGATATAATAAAGCCTTTAGACTAATAGGTAGCTAAAGTAATAATAAATTTACTATAACTTATTATCTATAAGATAGTAGTAGGTAATACTTTGCTTATATTAATTAAGCAGTATCTATATATAGCCCTATTTCTAGATAGTAGGTATAATAGTGTTACTTTAGATTAGCTTATTAGTAAGGTTATTAAATTTAATACTATACTAATCTATATTTATAAGGTAAAGTAGAAATAGGGTATTTAATAGTATTATATAGAAAGTTAATATACTAAAGGGGGTTAGTATATTAATTACCCTTTATAATTTAAAGTAGTTACTACTACTAAAGTAGATTTTTACTTTACCTACCTATAACTTATTTATAGCTAGATTTCTTTTTATTTAGTAGTAAAAAGTAAGATACTACTTATATCTAGCTATTAAATGTTTAGCTACGCTAGAGTTAGGCATAATACTATAAAATAAGATAAATAAATATTACTTATTAAGAGTAAAAACGTCTATATTAGGTAGCTTATTATTATATAGATTCTTATATAGGGAGTTATTTTTTATAAGAAAATAGGTTATAGATTAGTTATATAGTAATAAAAAGAGAGTAGGCCTATTAATAGTAGATAAGTTAAAGAATATTATTAATATATAAAACGTAGTGCCTAATTCTTTATCTTTATTACTTTTTATATAGTTACCTTTTTTATCTAAAGTAAATAGCTTATATCCCTTAAAGTTAGTTATAAAGTAGTTAAAGGCTTTAGGTAAAAAGTCTGTTAGATACTACTTTTTATACTTATAGTAGGCTTATTACCTTTTATCTTTTAAGTGCCTTATTAACTAATAGTTAGGCTTACTATATATATAGCACTTCTTTATAAATAATAATAAGGGTAAAGGGGGTGCTTATTACTATAGATTACTATTAAAAAGGCGCTATAGTGTAAAGTTACTATAGCTATAGTTACGTTAGCTAAATTACTAGTAACTTTACTAGCTATTATAAGTATAGTTAGTTTAGTATTAATTATCTACTTCTTTAGTTAGGTATTAATATATAGGTTATTTAAATTATATTATATTACTAATTACTAATTAAAGCTAGCTATATATACTAGTAAACGTTAAAGATAGATTAAAAAAGGTAAGGGAGCACTTTTTTATTTTATAGTAAGAGTTAAGTAATTAGTTATAAAGGGCTATATTAGATAAGGTATTAATCCTTATAACTATTCTTATAAAAGTAGTTACTCTCTTAATAAGTAACTTTAGGTATTTAGCTTTACTTTTATTTAGATTATTTAAGATAGTCCTTATTAAATTAGTCCTTTATAGCTTAGTAAGGTAGGCCTAAAAGGTCTCTTTATTCTTAAAATTACTTTTTATTTATATAACTATAGTAATAAAGTTAGTTTAGTTATAAAGATAGTTAGTATAGTACTTTATAGCCTTACCTTTAAGTATAATAAAAAAGGCGCTTATAAAGTGCTCTTACTAAATCCTAGCCTTTACGTAGTAGTTATAAAAGATTATAAGCTTTAATTTAAGTAACTTATATACCTCTTTACTATACTTTATCTTATTAAGATATAATTTAATAAGGTTAGTAAGCTAGTAAGTTACTAGTAAGGTAGTAGTAACTAGTATAACTAATAGGTAAAAGTAAGCATTACTTACTTACTTAAATAGTAAAAAAATAAAATTTAGATTATTATATAATAAGGCTAGATTAATAGGCCTTTATTAACTTTTTTAGACTTAAGTAACTTATACTAAGGAGGTAATAATATAAGAGGGGCCTAGTTAATCTTATATTAATATTATTTTTAGTAGTAGGTCTATAATATTTCTTATAAAGTTAGGTTTATTAATCTTTAAGTAAAAATCCTTACTTTTTTTTTTTTTCTTCTTTAATATCTTTAAGCGTCTACGCCTTTAGATTATTAGCCTTAAGGGTATAGTAAATTTATTTAGTAATAGTTAGTAACTTTACTATTAATACCTATATACCTCTATATATTAGGTAGTCTCTAAATTTAATAATAGTTTTATAGGTAGTACCCTTAAAGGTATTAAGTAATTATTCTTTAAAGTCTTTAGTAGTATATCTCTATAGTTATTAACTATATAGCTATATAAAGCTATATTATATTATTTAAAGTATAATAATAGTACTTAAGGCGTTATATTACTTAACTTAAGTAAGGCTATTAGAAATATTAGCTAAATTAGTTATACCTTATAGTTATATAATAATAAAAGGCTAGCTACGCTTTAAGATAAAATATAAATCCTTAATATCTTATAAATAGATATACTTTTTTACTTTAGCTAGCGCCTATAGTTTATTTTACTTCTTACTTAGTTTTTTTTTTACTATAGTTACTTTTTATTAGCCTTACTAACCTCTTAAATATAAGCACTTACTTTTTACCTATAAGGTTAGAGGTAAATCTATATATTAGAGGAATTACTACTATTAGTATAAATAATAATAAAATAAGTAAATAAATAATATAATATAAAAAGGTATAAGTAAGAGATAAAGTAAATAAAAAAATAAAATAATAAATAAATAGATAGTAGTAAATAGCTTTAAAGAGGCCTTACGCTTTAGTAACATAATAAGATAGCTCTAAGGAGGCCTTACGCTTTAGTAATATAAAAAGATAGCTTTAGGGAGGCCTTATAGTAAATCTTACTTAAAAAATAAGAGGAGATATACACTATCTCTAAAAGGAGATATATATAGACCTTACTTTTTAGTAAGTAAGATACTATAGTTAAAGAATTTTTAAAAAAAAAAAGTAAAAAGTTAAGGTTATATACCTTACTTAAAGGTAAATAATAAGTAGTCTTTTTAAATTAATTAGGATAGTAAAGTTAAGTAAAAGTTATATTAGTTACTAATAACTATACCTTACTTAAAGAAAAAGAAAAAGTAAAAAAGATAGTATAGTTATTAATAAGTATTTAAAAAATAAAAAAAAGTAAGTAAATTAAAGTAATATAAGTAACTTTTACTTTTTTTACCTTACTTAAAGAATAAAAAAAGGTATACTTACTAAAAGTAACACTTAGCTACTAATTATCTAGTTAAGGGAAAAAGTTATAATTACTATAAGCTATACCTAGCTAATAATATAATATTAGAAGTATATAGAGGTAAGATTAGTAAAAGCTATTTACTTATAAATACTATATTAAAAGTAAATTACTTAGGTAGTTCTTACTTAACTACTTTATAGCTAGTCCTATTAGTAAGATCTTATTTAGATAAGAACTTATAGAAGTTTATTTACTTATAATTTTATATAGGCTATTACTACTATAATAAAATAAAAACTTAGTAAGATAAAAATCTTAATAATTAAAGGAAAAAAAAGTTAAAAGATAAAAAGAAAAAAAACTTAAAAAAACTTAGGTATAAAAAAAATAATTATACTAAATACTATAAAGGTTATTAGTAAGTAAGTAGTATATAAAAGAAAAAACTTCTCTAAAAGTAATAAAGTTAATAGTAGTAATAGTAGTTATTATATAGTAAACATAAGGCTTAAAGGGTTATTTACTAGGTATTATAAGATCTTAAGTACTAATAATCTTTAGGCTAGGTAGCACTTTAATACTTTAATCTAAGCTACTATAGTAAGTAAAGTATTATAAGCCTCTTTTAATAATCCTTACTAATCTATAGTAGTAGTAACTATAAAGTTAACTACTAATTAGTATTAGTATTATAAAGATTATAATTATAAAGTAGTAATAGTTTAATTAACTACTAGTTACTTGTTAAGATAGATAATAAGAAAAAGAAGAAGAAGTTGTTGTTATAGATATTTGTAGTGGTGTAAGTAAGCTGCTAGGGTGAGTCACGTGATAGTAAATCACATGACTATAGATTGGCTCCACCATTGAACAGTTGAATATCCCGACATATAGTCTTGGAACTCCGCCTACCTGTTGTTGTTCAAGTTTGTATAGATGTTGTTCACGAGCTTTGGCCAGTCGGCGATGGATAAGGCAAGGTACCTTAAGAAGATGAAGTCGTACGAAGGACCGACCCATGCGCTTTCGGCATCGTCAATCTCAAATCTGACATTTGGCGGGACAAACTCCGGTTGAATGGCACTCAAGTCAATACCAACAACCTCCGCGTTGGGGAACATGTCGCCAACCTCGATTGCCCATATACCCGTGCCGGTGCCCACGTCCAGGATGCGATGGGTCTTTTCCGTGTCGACAGGGGCCAGGAAGAGGCTGCCAATCGTCTTCACCACCAGGGAATGGCTGAGGTCGAGCCTGTCCATTTCCCTCTTGTCATTGGGGAATTGGTACGAGCCGGACCGGTATGCATGGTATCGACGGCCGTACTCCTTTGGGTAGTCGATAATACTGGAGGTCAAGGACGCAGTATACGAAGAGAGTCGGTCTTCAATTGCGGAGGCATCGTCGGTTAGGAATGCCTCATCAACCTCGATGGAGGAAGGGACGTCTTCGACAGTGACCGTATTTGGCGACGGCATGGATGAGGCTGTTGCAGGATTCGCACCGGGCTCAGACATGATGTGAGCAGAAGTCGGGCAGGTGATGTCTCGGAGAAGAGTTGTCGGAAATTTTGTGCCACAAGCCCAGGTTTTTATCGTAAATTAGACAGCTTCCTATGTTACTCTACCCCTCACCTTGGCGCCCATAGTGCTTGCGTTGTTGGTAATGTTGGTTGAAGTTGGATGAAATGGCCCCGCCGTGCGAGTATCTTATCAACCAACATTGCACTCTTGGGTATCTGCAACTTAGTTGGTGTTATCAACTTGCGGAGCTTTCAATCCACGATGAATACTTTCATGGCTAGTGCACATCTTTTCACTAGTCAAACTGGTCCTGTCTGTCTTGCTCCGGTTGCCGAGCCGTTCTATACTTGATGGCATTACTACCTGATTCTTTCATGAGAGAGCTCCAAACCGTACTGCCCACGGTATCTTCTGTAACATGATCAAGACACAGAATTTCCACGCGCAGCTCTCTTCACCCTGCCCCAGGACCGGCATACCGCCTCCATCAACAGGTGGTGTCTTCTCTTATGCGGTTCTAATTTGATAAATCCCGGCGACATTGACGAAGTGAAATCGCCCAGAGGCTCATCGACAAACAATATGACGACTTGATATGTTGAGTCGGGCTGCCGCACCAGAGGAATGTTTCGAAGTGCAAGTATTTGTTGCAGCAACAATCGGAGTGCCCGCAAAGCCGGGATGCTTGGTCTTGGAGATTGACGGAGTGGCCAGCTGAGATGACTGCCAAGATGTTGCTCACGTTATAAATGGCTCGCCTCAGTTCCTTTCAGGAGGTGTGATTCTCTCCCCTAAAAGATATAAAGCTCGTGGTGTCGGTCTTATTTGCACCTTTGAGTGACGAGCTCATACCTTTAGTAGGCGTCAGTACTGCTATAAAGTCTTCAGCTAGGTAAAGTCACAGTATCGGTATTAGCAAAACCTCATGTCACTTAAAGAAGGTTGAAAACGGAAGAAGGGAGTTGTACAGTAGTGTAGATAGAAGTAGGTTGCTAGAGGGCCCTCAGCATTTTTGTCCATGTAGTAGGGCCAGCTGCCATTTGGACCGGCGCGATCAAACTAGGCCACCAGCTCGTCGTCCCGGCAATGGTCAGGAAGCCAAGAAACAGAAAGAGTATCGTATTTGCACCCAAGATCGAGGGCTTCAGAGATAGACGAACCGCAGTAGCAGGTGATAGCCTGTGGTAGTCGTGGTCCTGTATTCTGCAAGCCCACGAAGTATGCTACCCCGGAGAGGCCCAGTATGGTTAGGAGGGCATGACAGACTAGAGTGCAGGAAGAGGCGAGCGCTGTTAAGTAATGCTTCGCCGGCGAGTCTGGCACCTCCGAATCATCTCCATTGCAGCTAGGTTTATGTCTTCTGCTGTGTTTGGTAGAGAAGAGTAGTTGGCCTTGTTGCTTTCAAACACTGGAAATGCATCGCGAGGAAAGTCGCTTCGACTGATGCGTGTTACAACTTTCAAAGGACAAAGAAGAGGAACCTCAGAAGAGAAGACATGAAATTTGGATGATCTTGTAGGCCTGGCTAGACAAGAGGTTCGCTTTTGTGGCGATTGCGTTATCTATACAAACTTGGACTAGAGTAGAAAACAGACAGATCGTCCAGCGAAATGATAAATCCAGTTCATGACAGGATATCTGCAAGTGAATAATAGAATGAGACAAGGGCCGAGACTCCTCTAATCAGAGATGTGCGGCTTGGAAGCAGTACGATGGAGGTCGTTGGAGTAGTCACGATGCCCTCCGAATTCGTCCCATTCCGAGAAAGACGCATGTATCAAGATAGGTTGGTTTGAAAACTTATGAGGTCTTGTTGGTTTGGATCTTACCCCCTGTTATTTGTGCCGCACATTCTCGCGCCTGCATGTCCCGGATACCACAGCAGCTTACGCGAATAGGAAAGTCAGCAGTGAATTAGACCGGGGTGGAGTCCAGACTTGACAAAGGGCGGCCGATTCATTGCCGCCTGTCATTAATATGCCATGCTTTAAAGTCGTCCTTCGTATGCCTTCGTAGTATTGCGTCTTTTCTCTCCAACTTCATTTTGCACACACCCAGTTTGCGCCCCAAACCCCATCGCAAGCCATTGAGTAAGCGCATAGATCCCTGCGTCATTCATATACTTGTTTCAGTCAGCAACTGAATTTTTGTTTACACAGAACAACTCTGTCAAAACCTCTCGCTCCACAATGGCGTCTGAATACGAGGAGATCAGCGCCGAGACATCATCCCTAAACGAGGAGCTCTCGCATCTTAGAATGGAAGATCTAGATGCAGAAGATTGGGTTCATCGGATGAGAGCGAGGCCTCAGCTGAAGCCTTCGACACTACTCTATGTCTTTTCTGCAATTGTCATAGTGAAGACTTAGACGACAACCTTGATCATATGCGAAAGCGGCACGGCATGACCATCCCCTATCCTGAGAGCTTGATAGTCGACCTCGAGACATTGCTCAAGTATCTCCACCTTGTGACCTACGAGTACACCGAGTGTCTCTATTGTGGCTCAATCCGGAATACTCCACAGGCCGCACAACAACATATGACTGGGAAGGGGCACTGCAGAATCGATATTGACAAAGAGAACTCCGAATACAAAGACTTTTACGACCTTGAATCCAAACCTGACTCGGATGACGGCCGCTTTGTTGGCCCGAGACGCGAAGACTTTGTGGACGTGGAAGACGAAACAAGACACTTGCCGTCGGGGAAAACGGTCTCCCACCGGAACGCTAAGAAAGTTCGCGATCATCGAGATTCGAAGTCGAGAGAAAGAGACCAACAGTCTCTCCCTTCTGGAAGAGGGGGGGGGTGCTTCCTGGACCTAACTGATTCGGCTCTGGTGACCAAGAATGGGAAGAACAAAGACCTGGTTGTGTCTAAGGAGAGCAATAGCATGTTCCACAAGCAACTGGCATCAATGAGGCAGGGAGATCGGTTGGCTCTTGCTCACTTGCCTCTTCCACAGCAGAGTCGCTGGTTGCTAAAGCCAAGAAGCAACAAGAGATTTGGAACCGCTTCGAAAACGACCAAGCAATCAAACTTCAGTGTAAAGCTAGGGGATAATGGTTTGTTGTCGCTCCTGAACCTGGCAGCGATGTCTGGGATGATGCACCTCTAGGGTGTTCTGCTAGTGTGGAGCAGGACGAGGAAGGTTAGGGATTAGCGGGCGTGGTAATATGTATATGACTTATTCGAGGTCGACCCCGATAATTTCAACTCCCTTGCCCTCTCACAACCCACACCTCATCGAAGCAAAACGCCGTATCCCCCTCAATCCATCAAACTTTTCACAAGATGTCTGAGGCAGAAAATCCCTGTCCAACCTACGAAGCCCTCCGGGCCAGCCCGATCACGGTGGTCGCCGCACCCAACAGCGTCGAGCTGCTCTTCATGACGTTGCAGGGCACCGTGCAGAGCGCCATCGAGGTGCTTTCCGACCCAAGGGACTCAGACACGCGGACACCCTACTGCGACCAGGCAACCGGGACGTACCACCCTGTCAGCGCGCCTAGGACTAGGTACCTCTCTCCTCCCAGCAAGATAAATAGAGGTGCTCACCAAGACACAGCTACACTGGCTGATAGCGGCAAGGTCAGAATCCGGAGACTTTGCCGCGTATCACGAGCGGTTCCACCACGAAATAGCAAAGATACTGTCACGGGTTAGAGCACACAGCAGGGCATATATGGATTCAGGTCTAAAAGGCTTAATTGAATGTAAGTGAAGGTAACGAAAGTGAGGTCCTATATATATAGGGAACGAATGTGAAACACCACGTTATATAGCACCTGACAGTGCTGTTACATATGGTGGAAATGCATGAAGCTATCGTGACACATACACTGCACGTGCGGCAACAGAAAGACCCCCACACACCTATTATAGTGCCAAAAGGTTAAGCAGAAAACGTGTGTCCTATAGTCTCACGAGCTAGGGCATATCACTTTATTAGACAGGTGATGGAAGATTTCTCGGGCTTTATTGCACTGCTAACTAACACAAAATTCTATACTAGTATATGCCTTAGGGCATAGACATATGTACCTAGCATGTTATCCTTTTCGGCTATTACTATATTATAGCCCCTAGACGTATAACAGCTAAGACAGCTAGCGCAGGCGTTTATTAGGTGGGAACGCTAATCAGTAGAGGACTCTATTATAGGCAGCTTACAGCCTTATTCTTGCGCCTACTTACATATATAGCTAGTACCAAGGCCACAGTAGCTAGGATAGTAGTGCTAGACGTGACAATAGACTACTAACTACTATAAGCATGAACGCGCCGTTGGAGCAATCGCGCAGGCCGTACCTGAAGTTGAAGTTGCTTCAGAGACAGGCTGGGTCTTCGCTAGAGCAGCTCAGCTCGGACCACTATTCCAGCATGTTGTTGAAGTAGGTCTAGCCGCATAAGGGCAGGGAGCTGAATTTGATGGTTGAAGTGGGGGGTGCGGTGGCTTTCTTGGATGTACAGGTGGTTGTGGTATGTGTTGTAGTTGCTGTGCCTGCAGAAAATGTGGCGGAAGAGGATTTGGATAGGTTTGAGGAGGTAGTCGTTGTCTATACACACAGTGCGGTCAGTACTAAAAAACAGACGATAGGATAAGACAAGAAGAAAAGCGATTGCCTTACTAACACTATAATCTAACGCAAGGACACTAGAGATATTACCCTTACCATAACACTGGCTGTATATAACGTTCTAGGTGTAGCTATTATTACTACAATATATACTGTTAGGCGTATTCCCCCTTATCTAGTCATATGGTGTCAGTTTAAAGTTGCAGTTACTAGAGAAGTACATGTACGGTAGGTGCTACAGAAGTTGTCACTAGTGTTGCAGGCGCCGTCCAGGTTGCAGCAGTTGCCCCACTTGCCGGCGTACAGCTGGAGGCTATGGTTTAGGCTGCAGGTACTGGCGGCGCAGTCATCACTACGTCATGACACACCAAGAAGTCAGTTTCCTCGTTTTTATAGTATAGCATCTTTAATGTCAATTTAGGGATGTTTCATTGGCTTCTGCCAGTAGATGGATGGCACCACTATTATTGTGGAGACGCTCAATATCTTAGCGCTACTACGTCAAGAGTGCGCGATCCCGTGTGAGGACAAGAACAGATTTATAGACAGACGGGCCTGCGCTAAGTGATCTACGTGCATCACTAATACACGATTGGTTTTTCCTTAAGCTTAGAGTGGAGGAAACTACTCATTATTGGAGTTAAGGATATTTACTTGTTGTCTCCCTTTCTCCTTCTGGCTAGTACATAAAGTTCCTTCACAGGCATTCATTCGTTATCACTGTTGTTCTTCAGTAAGGCTTATTGCCAATTATGATGAACTATAAGACCGCATTATGAGTGATGGATACAGATAACATAGGAATCTTTAAATCAGTAGTGAAGGTGTAATACCGTGCACCCTAGTTGTTGGTTTTTTCCCCCCCAACTGCTCAATACTTTTGCAATTGTCCAAGTATGTGTGCCCATTTCACGTGGCTGCTTGAAGGATGGAGATATTACGATTGAATGAAGGGAGGCCCTGTTGATGCTGGCACTTGCTTGATGTCGTACTCACAGTTGAACCCTACCTGCATTGTATCGAGCGCACTGTAGTCTGGACACTGGGGCTCTTTGCCACATACCAACGTCATCAACGAATCCCTATTATTAGTTCACAACAAGTCTTGTACAGATGCAAAAGCGTCAATTTCGCTGTGGAACATGTAATTATTTAACTTTCAATATAACAAAAGACTTGTTAGTTAAGACAGGTTTGAGCACATGCCCAGTAATCACAGCTCAAATCCCGAACAGTCACAGCGTCTACTGTCACATGAGCACGCACCGGTGGCCAAGTAAGCATGGTCATGTCTTCAGCAATCTTATTAGTCGTAATAATTAATATTCTGAACGATCAGCCAAATGACCGTGGCCTCCAATCCTTTCTAACAACCCCGATCATAGAAAAAAAGTCCATCAAAGGCTCTAGTTGGGCCAGGGCTTGCCGCCGGGGTACCAGTCCTGGTTGCCGCAGCGGGCGGGGAAGCCGGGGACGCTGGGGGGGACGCTGCCCCAGGTGCAGCGGCCGAAGCAACACTGCTCAGCGCGCTCGCAAGGCGCGGCATCGGGAAGGCATTGCTGGCGAACCTCGAGAGGAGCTATGTGCGAGTTAGTTCCTGTAAATAAATGGTTCCAGTTCCAAAAAAAAAAAAAAAATGGACAAGGGCACTACTACGTACGAGTTGTGCTGGGGGCAGCGCTGACGGCCGCGGCCATGGCCGTGGCGATGATAGCGAGGGAGAACTTCATGTTGATGGAATGTGAAAGGATATGATCTTGTTGAAATGGTTGAGATGTTGAAGCGCTAGAGTGGTGGATGAGGGATAAGACAACTTGCTCAATGGAACTGGAGAGCAACGATGCTATTTATATTATAGACGATTGTCGAGCATTCGCAGACCGAGTCCGAAGTTGAAGTCCGAGTTGGTGACTGAGCCTTAGAAAGCTGGAATGCTAGTTTCTTGGCGGGATGGATACTCCGCTTTAATGACATGTCACCAGCGATAATGTTGCTTTCTATCGGCCATGTTTCCCTATGGAGCTAAAAAGGCTGGGCGGGCAAGGCGCGCAGTTTGGGCATACTAAATCATCACATCAATGCCTTCTGCAACGAGACGGAGCCTCCAACCTAGTATACCCCGCAAGAACAGCCAGTCACAAGCCAGTCAGACTTGCTGTAACCCCGGCCACACTACATCTCGTACATCGGCAATCACCTACAAGCGACCGTTAATCCGCACATTATGCACCACCATTACCTCCAGGCGAAAAGTCCGTGGTGGCATGCTCGAGACCGAGTTTCCTACTCTGGAGGAGGCTTAGTGGGCTCTGCCTCGGTACAGCACGGACCAATATCCCGCAATGGGAAAGGAGTGCATTCAACAGTACGCATCCGGTATGCAATTAGTACTATTTACCCCAAGATGTACGGAGTAGGGTGTACTGTACCCGTCTCGCATGATCAACTTTTTAATGGACCGTTAATTTCCCATTGTCCACCTTCCTGTCCTGTCTGTGGTAAATGAAAGTACTTGTGTCAGTCAAGTTCGAATCCTATCAGCGTCACATTTTGGCGGAACTTGACTGCTTCTTTCTGTTTGTTGATCTGCCAAGGCTCTCCCATAACGGAGCAGTCTCATCCTGGGAAACGATCATCCTCCAGTCGTCCTGTCAGGCTTAGCTAACATGATGGAGTCCAGGGCCAACCCGGCCTATTACGCGGGAAGTACGTCTCTAAGCGAATCAAGCATAACTTGACAGGAATCGGCCCTTGCGACTGGGGATTGCACACTACCCTAATATGCAACGTTGCGGTGCATTCGAGCCGCTTGCTGGCAGTGGGATCGGACCGGGCTGGTGTTCTCCGAAAGTAACTATGAATACGGATACGTTCGCAACCAACACGGATCTTTTTGGCTGGTTTCGAATTTGGCCCGATAATTCTGATGGGCAGGTTTGTCGCGGCATGCTTCACCAAAGCATCATAATACACGCGCGCAAAGAGGCCCGCAAGCAACCTTCTCACCTCTCCCATCATTCGCGGTCGGCTGCTGGCCATCTGGCCTCATAGCTAGTCCTGCTTCTATCAGAAAGGACCCGATAGAGTCTCCTGCAAACCGCTTGACTAGACTACCTAGTGGATCCTATAGCGGATCCTTGAACCCATATTTGATGGTGCCATAGAATTAGTAAACCATGCCAACTGTCAGGCCATCCAGTTGATTACAATGCATTTGTAAGATTACAGCAGTCCGATTTCAGCATTAATTGAATGGCCGAATGCCGTATCAATAACATCACGATACGCATTGTGTATGAGCTGGGGTGATGCTGCATGGCAGGCTAACGATAGAGTGTTTTAGCTCCCACAATGCCTAAAAGATCATTAATAAGGGTACATGTATGAAATCAGGTAGATTGCTGCCAGGAAACGTCCGAGAATGCAGGAGAGTCCACGGGCTTCAAAATAGCCTTGGAAATAATTGACCGCGCCATGAACGTAAAGTGGTGGGCTGTAAAGCCCAGCTCCTCTGCTACCCGGCGGTATCGGTGCATTATTCAGGCCTCTGTCCTTCCCCTGCCACTCGATATGGGAAATGACAAAAGCTCACCGACAGTTGTGCTCAAGTACAATGAGATCTTCATGAGTTGTTTTGAGAAGTTAATCACGGACAAGAGACCCAGTTCGACGTCTTCGCTTCCGTCGCATGGATCATGATCGCTTGAAAACAGAGGCCCATCGTCCAAATCTTGGAGCATTGGCGGCGTAGATCAGATTACTTGCTTGATCAGTTGGCTACTTTATATCACACAAAAGTTACGCCACAGTAGCGCGTGCGTCGTCATCATCTTTACTATCGCTATGTTTATTCCGAGCTCACACATCGTAATAACAGTTTATGCTGACATCACCGTAAGGCACGCATGATGTTCCGCGACCCAGTGAAAGCCGGAATGAAGACTAAGTGCTATCTGCCACAATACCCGGAATATTGACCATCTTGTTGTCTATATAGATAGGGCAGGATACCGCAGTATTACAATTACCTATTGCCGTATTAGAATCTAGACCTACCTATACCTGCGGTGTTGTACCGCTGGGAAAGTCACTTGGGTGGCCAGCAGTTGGACGTACAGAAGATGCCGCACATGAGGGATAGGGCGAAATTTGCGAAAATAGAAGCTCTGCAGAAGGTTATTCTGTCTATGGCGGTTGGTATACAGTTCATCGTGTCAGAGACCGAGGACTTGGAGAACTACAACTACAGACTGTTGATTAATAACCACAAGATGCCGTTGAGACTGCCCTCTGAATCCTATAGAATAGATCCCCATCTATCCCTCTCCCATTCTAGATTATAGAACTACGATTTAAAGTATATATATGCACTGTATTTACAAAATATTATGTACTACTAGGGGGGGAGGAGCAGATAGCAAAGGAGGTCCAGCTATATCAAAAGCCCGCCTAATCATAGATTGGAATTCCAGGAGGCGCAGCATCTCATCTTCGATCCAGAACCAGCACAGCAGAGGCTGTTCACAAGAACGAGGCTTTAAGGTACATCATCAAATCACACTGCCTGTGTATATTCAACTGTTAGGCTAGGAAGTAACAAATCTAATGTCTTTCTAGCCAAGTCTTTGACATTTAGGTCTAGCAAGTAATATATAGTCGCAATCTAGGAAGGCAAGTAAAGTCTAAAGTCACTTAGCACAACTGCAACAACAGACCCTTCTCATACCCATTATTTATCTCTGCTTCCTACTTGCCTCTTAGTTAGGTTAACTCTTTAACAGCTAATCATTCTTGAATAGTCAAGTATAAGATAGTGAAACGTTCTTGCTGTTCTGATTTCTTACTATTAAGCTTGCCTTATCTTGTCTTTGTCTTTTTGTTTGGAAAGATGTGTGATGTTCCTAACTTTGTCAGAGACAACGATGACGAAGACAATGACAATGAAAACGAAGACGAGGACGGAGAGATAGCCGACGCCTAGATACACTGTAAGTTATATCTCTTTCACTTCTTAAGCCGAGCTGACAAACAATAGTAACTTACGGTACCACTTACAACATCAACTATAATATTCTTTCATCCCGCCTATGGCGCTGGCCTCCTCGTGGGAGGCGGGGGTAGCAGTCGGGAGCAATAATCCGGAGGGCTAACGGCGCCAACCACAACAATATCTGAGCTCTATTACTCTTCTTACGGACAACTTTATTCTTACCCTCTGCATACCTCGAACACGACATTAGCAACTAGTAGTCACGCTCCCTCGGGCTCATCACCTGGTCGTCTTACTTCTCTAAACCGGTCGCCTCCTGTTCTCTCTAAGCTCGTCACTCATTCAGCTACCTCGGGCTTCTTGAACGAACTTTCGTCGAGACAGCAGATGCCACCAACGGTCACGGTGGCTTGAGTTGTACAAGCCAGCATATCAGCACTGCTACTTGGAATAGAATAGTCCAACGAGAAACGAAGTCATAGAAATAATGAGCCGGGATCTTTCCAGCCATGATTTTGGCGAAACGCTGCTCAGAATCTCCTGCTCAGAACTCCCAGCACGTTATTGGCTGGTACATACATAACCTCAACATGACACACGCAGGCAAACCATGTGTTGCCGTCCTGTCCACTTGTACAACAATCTGATGTCTGGTTGAGTTACATGCATCATGCTACCGGCCGTTCCGCAGCGGCCATGTCCTGATATAAGGCCCGACTAGGCGCCAGAGACATCAAAACTGTCACAATATATAAGGCTTTAGTTACAACCCTGTAACCGACAGCGTCGTTTTATTACGTAGCAAAAACCCTTTGGTACTAAAACCAAGTGCCCTTCTTGAACTGGGGTGTCATATGCGTGTCAATTGCTATACCTTGGCAAGCTACCTTAGATCAGCCGATTACTACAAAGGTAATATCACAACCTTCATTCATTGACAGAAATTTAACCTGGTTGAGTGTACGAATGACGACCTGTATTGTGGGTTACAATATTGAAGTTGTTTCTGAGTCCTCAGAGTTCAATTGTCGAGCGTAGAACCCACAACGATAGACATATTATTAGAGATGACGGCAGTTTCTATTCGACTCCGTCCCGTGCCGGCTATCCGTTTCCCGCACTTCGTATTAGCGCACAAACGCACAACTTATTTATCCAATAGTTCCCGTTCTAGGTCACATCAAACGAGGAGAGGGTCATACGTATAATACCGACGGATCTGAGGGGTAGCCGGGCGCCCTGAAACGACTCTTCAATAAGGGGGCTTGCTAGCGTCCACAATATTGCACCTGACAACCTGAGCTTGATTTAGTGGTAAGTTCTCACGAGCTAGAGCACAAAGCAGGTAGGGAGATACGAATGAGTGAAGAAAAGGCTTGTATTGTGGGAAGATGAATCTCCCGGGTGGAGGGCCCATATAAAGGGGGCCCTCGAGCTCGTTCATGTGACATGGCACGTGGTGTGGCTGACGACAACCGTCACACATACACGAGCCTCCTGTGATATAAGTGTTTCTCAAGGCTCCGTGTTGAGTTGATGAAACTATTGAAAAGTTGTCTCATCTGATGCAATAATATGTGACCTAGTTGGGTGATCATCAAATACTGCGTATTTTCCCGACAGCGCTGCCAACTGAATCTTTGTACAGAATCAAGCGCCCATTTCCTTGCCTAAGACAGACAAAAAACAACAAGGAAATCCACTGCGGTAAGAAGATCGCTTCTCCTATGGGCCCTATTACATAGGGATGTGGATGCGTTCCAGATGCTTGTAGCCCTTGATGCGGGCTGGCGGCCATACTGGTTCTGGGGGCCGCACACCCCTGTTATCACTGCTGGAAGGCGGCCTCTAATACGAATCACCACGAAGGAGTGGCCTTCAAATCCTGTATTCCCCTTACCTACTAAGAACCTAGGATAGCATACTTCAATAATGACTACTGATCTATAACTTTTTGCTTGTTACTATAGTAATCTAAAAGTAATAGATATCCTCCTCTGTAAAACAAACAGATTTACTTAATATAGAGAAGGTTATTACTCCAACTACAGCAATGTTAAAGACGCTAGGAAATAAGCAGTCAGCTGGTCTAAACCTCTGTTAGTAGCACGATACAGGTGGTTTAGAAGTGGCGGTTAGTAAAATTAGTTTGCCTAACTAACTACTAGGTTCCGAGATGTTTAATCAATATTATATTCAAGAAGTTCAACAACCCTCAGGCCGCCTCGATATATGAGGCTACAGACTGGTAAATACCTTGGACCCAATACGTGTTGCCGGGGAGTAAATATACTGTAGATTCCGTGTATCCGACCCCAACATGTAATGTTTGATGAGGGATAGATCAGTCCTCATATCCAATATCCTCCTCCTCGTACACGTACTCCATTTCGGGAGCCGGTGTAATCAGGGCCCTAGCTTCCTCGTGTATCGAAGAGGCTGTCTCCAACACGTTGGTGAGCGACGTGGGGAGAGCATCGAACGGCGTGGCGAACGCGACGACGTCGACAGGCACGGTGGCACTCGGGTTGATCAGCGGCAGAGAGTTGACCCCGAGGTCACCCAGATCGCCATCGCAGTCGCCGTCCTCGCAGCGCAGGAAGCCCAGGCCCTCGAGCAGCTCCTCGTCGGTCGCCTTGCGCGTGGAGTTGCCCTCGTCGACCCAGACGTCCTCGGGGTCGAACGTCGCCGGGTCGAAGTCGTCTCTCTTGTTGAAACCGGGGCGGTTGGTCTTGCCGGCGACGATGTTGGCGGGGGGCGCGTTCCTGTACAGGCGCGTGTTCCTCTTGCTGGCCGGGTGCGCGTTGTACCAGGGGTCGTTGGTCATCAGCGCGAAGCCTGGGTCGTCAATCAGCGTGCTGGGCCAGCACGGGTTGGCGGGGATGCCGTCGTCGGCGAGGGCGTCCGCGGCGGCCATGTTGGTGAACTTCATCTTCATCACCCTGGTGGTCGCTGTGCGCGTCACCACGAACTTGGAGACGACGCGCTTGCAGTTCCGGACGACCTTGGCCAGACGCCGCCCCTGCTCGGGCGACAGCTTGTGCTGGGCGGGACAGACGCCCTTGAAAAGCTGGCCGGCGCCTGCGTTCTGCCCGCCGGGCACGAGACGGATCCATTGCCTCATGTCCCGACCCTGCCAGATGGCGGCCGGGGGGTACTCGTCGCGTTGGCAGTTGATGTTCCGGGCCTGCATCCAGCCATTGATCCACTTGGTATTGTGATCCTTGTGGTACTTCTCGACAACGGGCCTGATGCCACCGCCAGCCGCCGTGGTGCAGGTGAGGACATCCATGCCCCTCTGGTTGTTGATGACGGACCGGTAGTGCAGACACGGTTGGGGGTACAGCCCGCCGTTGCACGTCTTGGTCACCGTCTGGCGCTTCTGAACGAGCCGCGTCGAGGTCTCCGACTTGGGCCGGAATGCCGCGCGCTTGACAAGGCCGTTGCCCTTGAGGTCGCAGTGACTGTCTTTCTCGTCCGCCTTGTCCGACTTACCCCGGTCGCCACGATCGTTTTTCGAGGTGAGCGGCTTGTCGAGCTTGACGTCGTAGTCCTTACCTTGGAATTTGAAGATAGACTTGCCGGCCTTGGCGATGCCTTTGGCGCAGAGATTGGCGAGCGCCGGAACTGCGGCCTGTATGGCGAGACGAACGATCCATCCTGGTGAAGAGAGGGGTTGTTAGTATCCGCCAATGTTGAGAGATGAGATTGGGGAGGGGTGAGTTGTTAGTGCGGACTCTGGGACTTACCAACAATGGGAATGAATGTCAAAGGCGTGAGTGCGGCCGTGATGGCAATACGACAGAACGCCTTTGCAGCAACCTCGAGGGCCAACGCTTCGGCAGCAGCAATCGCAGCGTCAGCCGCCTCGTCCTTGATCTTCTCCTCCATCTGCTCCTTGCTAATGGGCGGCATGAAGCCTGCACAGCAGTAGCTCTGGGTACCTCCGCTGCAGGTCTGGTCCTCCTTGTCGCTGTGGTGGTTCGTGTTCTGCGTGAGCTCTGTTTCTAAATCGGCGCAGCCTCCTGTGCAGGCCAAGCCTAGTCCGCGGTATCCCCTCCATCGACATTTGCCCATGGTGGTTCCCTTGTTACAGCAGAGGGTGCGGTACTTGTCCTTGGGGCACCTGTCCATGGTGGAAAGAGACCCCGGCTGTCCGTTCATCTGGGTTGCCTCATGGTCGCCTTTCCGGCAAGGTTCACCACACTTGGTGGTGTAGCACACGCCCTTGACTTCTTCGTCTGCAATCATGTCCTCGGACAAGGACACCTCCTCATCCGTCCAGTCCTCAGGATATTGCAAGCTCTTACTATCCTGGTCCACCTGGTCTAAAGCCCAGATCATGGACCCTCCTACACCGATGTGGATTAGTATGGGTTATAACGTTCTCTAGTCTAATAATTTTCTTTTGTTGACATATGGTAGTCGATACGGGCTTGGGTTGACTCTTCTTACCTAGACAACGAGAGTTGGCGAACGACTTCTTCTTGAGCAAAGTTTCGGCGTCATCGTATGAAACCCACTGATCATTGTCCCAATGGATCCCTGTTTCGGCGGCATTAGCGCAGGCATTGGAGGTTTACAGTCGCTCGCCGCAATAAACTCACACTTGACTCCGGCCTTATCATCGGATTGGGGTTTGAGGTCTTTTTCCTCGATGATGTCAAAGATCTCTTGGAGAGTCAAGATGCCGGAAGCCTTGGAACACGGGCCCTCTTTCGCGCCACCCGTGAACTGGCAGACACCGTTCGGCTTGTTGCAACTCGGATCCTTCAGGGTGAACGAGCGGCCATAGTCTGTTCCTAGGTCAGCCATTGTACCGATGAGGCGAGAGAACAGAATAAACATCTGGCTGGCTGCTTACATCCTTGACCGAGGACAACCTTCTCGGGCTTGAGGCCCGCACGCCAGAGGAGATCCAAACCCATGTCGATCTCAGTGAGGTTGGTGTGTGCTGCGACAATAGGTCCGACGAACTTTGAAGCAGCATCCCACACGCCGTGGATGTCGTACGACATGATGTTGAACCAGTCGACATATGGCTGCATGCCAGCGAGATCAAAGTTCTGGAGGTACCAGTACGATGCAGGCAGAGTGATGGAGTAGCCAAAACGACTCCCGAACGCAGCCTTGATGTCTTTGCACAGCAGCACAAAGTTGGCAGTGTCGTCTGCGGTTCCACCGCGATCACCTGGGTCCTTGTCAGACGATTGTAGGAATTTAAGGGTGATGAAACCTACTAGCTGTTGGATACTCCCAGTCGAGGTCCATTCCATCGAATCCATAGCTCTGGTTGTCCCACACGTTAGCTCTCGTTCGTGACCTAGGTTAATGGCGTTCTCACCTCCATGAACTTGATCAGACCATCAATAAACATCTTTCTGTTTCCCGCACTCGAGGCCATGGTGCTGAAGGCCTTTTGGTATGGGCCGGCTGCGAGTGCATAGAGAGTTAGTCACCTGAATATAAACTGATCAATGCAAGGCAATGAATCAGATAGGGATCCGAAACCCCGAGACATTGCACAGGTTAGATTGTATGACGGGGCGCTTACGGTCGTTAAAAGACCAACCACCAACACTGACCCAAGTCTGTAGGCCAGCCTTCTTTTCCTTCAGCTTGGTGAAACGGTTGAGGAGGGTGCCAGCGTTCTTGTCCATGGGAACGATCTGAAACGATGACGGATCGAAGAAGACAAAAGCAAAGTTGATGTGAGTAAGGCCATCCAAGTTGAGGTCCTCGGGCGAAACGGCGCTGCAGGCTCGTGTGTTGGCCCATGATTCATAGTAACCGATGGTCCGCTTGTTGATGCTGCCGCCGTCCTTGCTGCAGGAGGGCCGCTTGACGTCGCCACAGCCACCGAATCCCTCCTGGCATCCGGCGTCACAGAAGTCAGAGGTTGAGCCACAGAAACTGGCGGGACAATGTCAGCTAGCTCCGGGTGTGGGGGGGTCTCTCAGCCGAGGCGGTGGAATCGGTGGACTTACCCAAACTTTGAGCAGCAAACACCAAGAGGACACGTCTGTTTACCAGGCTTGCCGTACTGGCCACACTCGGCTTTGGCATCACAGTTGGAGGTGCAGTTTGCGGCGCCACATTCCGAGGGGGAGTAACCGCAGAGACCGCTGCCGTTCTAGACGGCAAATCAACGTTAGATGAAGGAATTGCCAACACTGTATAATGTCAGAATGAGGAAGTATGGTAACATACACCACTGCAGCAAGCGCCGTTTACACATGGCGTGTTTGCATTGCAAGTTCCGACTGGAAGCTCGAGGTCGTCGGCGGCAACAGTGTTTTGCAACAGACCATAGGCAGAGTTGAGAGCAAAGTAAGATTCTGCAATGGCTTGGTGTAAAAGAATGGACAGGACCAAAGTGGTCCAAGAAGTCTGAGGAAGACGCATGGCTAGACAGACCAAGTGGCAGAATAGCCAGAAAAAGAGTGTAAGGGGGGGGGGTTAAAGAACGACTGTGAGCAAGACTCTGCAGACCTCGTTCATCGTGTGGGCAGCCATGGTCATTTAAGAAACTCGTTCTGAATCGAGATACCGAACTCACTTGCCTCGCAATCGTTCAAGATCCTTCAATAAGGAGAGCGGGACAGCGGCGCCACCCGGAATGCAGGGGTATCGCGCACCGCCTTTCGGCACGAGAATTAGTTCCTGCGTCTCGAGGGGTCGGAGACGGAATCTTTTTGCGGAAAGCTCGCGTCCGCTGGGGGTTCGGGCTAGATGCCCCAAAGGGGTTATCAACTGACTCAAATCCTACGAGCTCAAATGCAACCTGTAGCAACTAGTGCTTACTCTGAGCCATGTGATAAGCTTATTCTCGCCCTTGAGATAGCCTTTCGGGCCGCATAGGCTACCGGCTTGCAGAACCTGTTTTCGTATGCAGGGCACGCGTAGGATGCAGAACCCTGAACTCGCCACCTACCAAATGAGCCCATTAGTCCTTGGCAGCGACTATGTGGTCTAGACATCGTGGAATTGGACCGAGAAGTACCGCGACGGGTGCCTGATTAAACAAGATTTTACCTACCATCAGGATGCAGATTTACCCCTTACTATTGCATCGAACCCCATGATCCAGAACCTGCAGGACTTTTGAAATCACCCACTTTCGGCGTGGTAATATTGCTGCCTACCTTAGTGTCAGGTACTAGGCTCTTGGCAGGGAAGTGTGAAAAGATGCTGCCTGTGTCGTCCGAGTCGAAGGACAGTTGCGAATATGGAGTTTAACGCAAAGGGGTTGTTATTCCCGGTGCATCCAGACCCGGTGGAGTTTTGGGAACTCGAAGAGGGCTCTTATTAGGACTTGGACAACCTATTCATCCGGTCCTTGCAACAGCCTACCTGCTCACGCTTCATCACTCGCAAACTGCACTCTTTTGTTTGTGACGATGGTGTCTGCAAAGTCTACACTTGCCGTGATGGCACTTTTGCCGTTTGCCTTGGGCAAGTTGGGTTTCCAACTATATCCACTCATTCCTACTCAGCCCATGGCCGAGATGCTCGGCGTCAGTGAGAACTGCGTCAAGGCGCTGTAAGTCCTCTCACACGTCTTCTACTTACATCCCGAGTGCCCCAGACATCTGATTCGTCTCCAATGACTAGGAACACTACGTTGCCGTGTGATGATGACCTCTTCAGGTGGACTGTCAAGGTCGACGACGTCTACTGGACTGAGCAAGACGTCAGCACCCTTTGCGTCCCGGACTGTCAAGCCGACGCCCGGACATGGACGGAGACCGTCGCCTCCGCCTGCTCCGAGGACTGGCTCGTCGTCGGCGACCGCGCCGTGCCGGCCGAGACTCTAAGTCTCCGGTTCGTCGAAGGCCTGGAGATGGCCTGCTTGCGCGACACAGGCAGCCAGTGGTGTCTCCCCGCGTCCTACAACTGGACCGGCTCGGACGTCGTGCAGGTCGACTGCGCCGCAAACCCCGCCGACCCGTGGTGCATCAACCCGGCCAACGTGTCTGCTGAGAACAGCCGCATCTCCACCCTCTATGACGACGACCTCTTGTGCTCCGAGTGTTTCCTCAACATGATGTACCGCAGGGTGACCTCGGAGTTCCTCCCGGACACTGACCACTCTGACTACCTCGTCAGCGAGTTCCAGGACATCCAGTCTGTCTGTCAGACGAGCGTCGGCCCCCTGGCGACGCGCGCCGTCCCGCTGTATCCCTACGCATCGGAGCTGCAAGAGCTCAACGAAACGGCGCCGGAGCCGACAGGTACCCCGTCCACCGGGGCACCCATCGTTGGAGATGACGGTCTTCCCTGGGACCCGGAAGAAGACCCCGATGATCCCGGCATCGACGAGGAGATTCCCGACGGCGAAGAGGACCCCGATGAAGCCGAGCCGGAGCCGGAGCCCGCCGAGCCCGTCGTGCCCACCAACTGCACCGCACGTGCTGTCGATGTCCGGTACGCAAGCCTGGACGGTATCGAGGCGTGCAACGAGCTCGGCGAGGAGTATGGCGTCGCGACGGGCCAGCTCATGTACGCAACCGGCGCAGACGATTGTTACTCGTACGACTTTGTCTGCGTACCGGAGGCCTGTCAGCTGCTCCGCGTCAATGCCGGGGACACTTGGTACGTGTCATACACACGTTGTCGCTGAGAAATCAAGTCGTTTGAAAGGCTGCTAATACTTCGACAGCGAGACTATTTCGAAAGCCATCTCCAACGACACAGATCCAGTAAGCGTGGCACAGCTCATGACTTGGAACCCCAACCTCATGGGTGCTTGCGACTTCCTGGCCGAGAGCCAGTACATCTGCATCTCGTAAGTGAATACATCATGTTTCAACGCCATTGCCTTGGCCATCATTTCCTTGCCCATCTCAAACCTGAAAACCTAACGTCCGTTTCTCTCAGACGACCTGGCGGCACCTGGGTCAAGCCCCCCGATGCAGATATCCCCGAGAACTCGAACGGACCAGTCCGCGGTGGTCCGGGAAGTACCGAGACCCTCCCCATCGTCACGGACCCCTCCACCGTCCCGGACGACCGCAAGCAAGAGGGCATCCCGGCCAACTGCAACCGGTTCGTCAAGGCGGACAACACAGCTGCCTCGTGCTGGAAGATCGGCAACGACGCCAAAATCACCCAGACGCGGCTGTGGGAGCTGAACCCGGCCCTCGGTGCCAACGGTGAGCACTGCGGCACCCAAATCTGGCTCGACTACTACTACTGCGTCGGCACGGCCGAGGACGGCACCACCACCCCGACGTCTACGCAGAGCGGCCCCGCCACGACCGCCTCGGCGACGGCCTCGTCGGTGCCTAAGCCGACGCCGCAGCACGAGGGCACCGACCCCACCTGCAACAAGTGGACGCAGGCGGGCGATGGTGCCGGGTGCTGGCAGCTCGCCACGGACGCGGGCGTCGACCTCGCCCTCTTCTACAAGTGGAACCCCGTCCTGGGCGCCGACGGCGAGAACTGCGGCAGCATGATCTGGCCGACGTACTACTACTGCGTCGGCGTCTCATCCGCCGCCGTGACACCCACTACCACAGTGGCACCCCCGGCGACGACGACGGCCCCGGCCAAGCCCACCAACACGCAGGCCGGGATCCCGGCCAACTGCAGCCGATTCGCGCAGGCCGGAGACGGCGCGTCGTGCTGGCAGCTCGCAAGTGACAACGGCATCGACCTGTCGGTCCTGTTCGCCTTGAACCCCGTCCTTGGGCCCGCGGGAGAGAACTGCGGCACGCAGATCTGGCCGGACTATTACTATTGTATCGCGACAAGTTGAGCTGGTGACGGGACGACGTAAAGACCGCGTCCACTGTGGTGGATCAGGTGTTCATGTACATATATATCCATGTCATTTGTCTCAAATTCTGGTGTGCTATAGAATTGGTGATTATCACAATCAGAGACCGAATCGAAACCGTGTACTGCGATGCTATAGCAAGGAGAAACTCGCCCGTCAATCCTCGTCTGACCAATCGTACTGGTCATTCATAATGGCTGCGCGCGCTGGCACGGCAGCCCGGAGAAACTCCTCCTTTCTGAATGCGCTCGGCCAGCCGTACTCGCGGTACAAACTCTTGATTGCCTGTTACCTGTTAGACACTTTCCGGTGGATCGACTGGGGCGTGGGTGCATCATCAGACTCACCTTGGCTTCCGCGTCCTTTGGGGCACAGATGGCGGCCCCGAAATTCCCCGCCGCGGGTGCTGGGACCAGCTTTAGGGATGAGATTTCATCATGCATCTTGTCGAAGAACGTCTTGAATGAGAGGGCCTTTGCGCCAAGCCACGGCTTGTCCTCTTCCGCCTCAGGCGGTGCGTCGTCGTATAGATAGTAGTCATCTCCTTGGGGGTAGACGCATCCTGTAGGTAAGGTAAAGCAAATCCTCCGTCAGCACGTTCTGTCAATGAATTAGAGAAAAGAGATGGGGAGGTCTAACCTCGCTCCGTATCAATCACCCAAATCACACCAACCTCTGCCTCCTCGTGTGTCAATGAGATGATGTGCGGCGGCACCGGCTTGTCGAACGGCCCCAGACCGAGCATGGCGAACGGCAGCTGGTGCCAGTTTGGATCCTCGTCCTGTTCAGGCTGCCATTTGTTCCTGAGGTACGACCGGACCATCGTCTCGTAGTAGACCATGGCATCGTCGTCTGCGGCGTCGCTGCCGGGAGGGCCAGCCCGCGGATATGGGAGGTGCCGCAAAAGGTCTATAACCGTCTCCGACCGGCCCAGCGTCTGCAGCGCGTCGACGTTGAGCTCCGCATTGGACCATCCCGCTGGCTCTGGTGGTCCCTGAACGGCCTCCGGGTGCAGATGGCCCATGTCGACAAGCAGCTGGTAGTGGCGCTTCACAAGCTCGACGAGCGCATCGCGGTCGTAGCCAAAAACCTCGGGCGGCTCCCTAGCAGGCTTCTTCTTGCGACGGAACATGGCTGTGTGTGTAGGGGGGGACGGATGGGTATCAGGGGATATACGTGCGAGAGGAAGGGCAGTTAAAGAGAAACACAGATTAATAGTTGATGATGCTCGGCTCAAAGCATTTCACAGGTCGCAAAACACGTGTGAAGACAAGGAGGGAATGAATGCTTGTTATGTACCTTATCGACTTTTCTCAAGCGGTGTAGATGTATGGTTAGCTTGTTATTCCCGGGATGAGGAGGGGGCGGGGTCAATGGTTGCCAAGCACAAACAGCTTGCTGCCTGCTGCAAATCTCCCCCCTGGATACATGCGCAGGGGTGTTTTTTTGCCTCTGAGAGATCTAGATTGGGCGACAAATCTCGACGAGTATCCGCGTCTCGGTGGCAGAGAACTAGCACCGGCGGCATCGGGAAACATTTGTCGTATTTTCTATACATCTGCCTGTGTGATACGTATCAGTAAGTTTTGCAGAATGTTTAGAAGCGGCGGCCATGTGGCCATCAAACGCCGGTTGCCAAACTCTTCTCGTCGCCGTGACATTGATCGCTGCCAGTTTTTCATTTGGTCAATGCCACAAAAGTCGATACCATTTCACAAGGCTTATGACCCTCAGTTGTCCTGGTTTGACATGACATGGGTTTACCGAGCAAGGAGAAACATGAATCCCGGCTTATTCTCTCATTTCAGCTCAAGATCGGTAAAAGGTTTCTGCCTGGTGATGAAACCCATGGCAGGCGATGAAAGCTCATAGGCCACTTAACAGCGACTATGCGATGATAACGGAGATCCCCGAGAACTGTCTGTGTATGGCCTTGTGAAGACAACGGAGCATGGATAATGTCGTCTTCTGAGATTTGATGATCCGATCCACCCGTCTCTCAATCAATTGAAAGTAAAACCATAAAAAAAGAAGGAGAAAAGGGAATACTAAATGTGGCAGTTGTATATTACTACAAGAACCGGGAGCCAACCCCGGACATGGTGTACCACCTATTAAAAGAGGGGGAAAAAGATACTATTGACTTTTCCCAGCGTGGAGCGCCTGACAATTGATAACAAGAAGACGAGGCTATCGCGATCGATCCTAGATATAGATACGACGCTTCGGAAATTCTGCTTGGGGAGACTGGATACATGCATAGTAGAATTGTCCATAAGCCGTAGACTAACCTTGTTTTCTACAATGGGCACCTTCTAGCCTGCGCCGAGGACAAGCTACACAGGACTCGCGTCGAATTCTTAGGCATCATCAAGAACACCCCTCAATACCAATATGGGACCCCAGCCGTAGCCAACAGTTGAGCAAAAGACCGTCTTAGGACACACTTAAACGCGACTTTATGCAGGCGAACTACAACTCTGGCGAGTTTGCCAGTTTTGCGGTAAACGAGCATCTACATCTTCTTCCCCTACATGCCTGTTGTGTATTTTATTATCCAGTCCTAAATTTGGAGGAGCTCAAGTTCTCAGGATGGCAAGAAGATCAAGCCAAACGAGACCTAGAGCAACATCCGGAGCTTGGAAAGTGTTGGGAGGGCGACAGCCTAAGTGAGGCGTTCGCAGGAGCCCACGGCCAAAGAACAAGGCCATAACCATCGAAAACACGTGAAGGATCCTCGTGACAGTAATGTAACCGAGTCTCTCATCTTTACCTCAATAAAACCGGGCCATGTCCAGCAAGCTATACAAAACTCCACGCTCCAGACAGGCCTTGGGTGCTTCTTTTTTTCATCATCTTTACATTTTGACTTCAAACCCGCCCTCGCCGATTAATTCTTAGATGACGACGTTGAATCCCCTATGCCTTGAGGATCTTGTTCAGCTCCGTGACGATGGCATCGCCGACCTCCTGGGTGCCGGCGGTGCCACCGAGGTCCTTTGTCCTTATACCGTTGTCGATGACGGCCTTGACGGCATCCTCGACGGCCTTGGCCTCCTTAGGCAGGTTGAGAGAGTAGCGCAGCATCATGGCGACAGAGAGGACCGTACCAATGGGGTTGACGATGCCCTTGCCGGAGATGTCGGGGGCAGAGCCTGCACGTCGTTAGCACATTCGGAACGAGACAATGGTAGAATTGAGGGCCGACGTACCGTGGATAGGCTCGTAGATACCGTTGCACTTGCCCTTGCCGTCGGGAATGCCGCTCAGGCTGGCACTGGGCAGCAGACCGATGCTGCCGGGGATGACACTCGCCTCGTCGGAGATGATGTCACCAAAAAGGTTGCTCGTAACAACGACACCGTTCAGCGCGCGGGGGCTCTTGACGAGCAGCATGGCGGCGGAGTCGATGAGCTGGTGCTCGATCTTGAGCTGGGGGAACTCCCGCTCGAACAGCTCCGTAATGACCTTGCGCCACAGTCTACTCGTCGCCAGCACGTTGGCCTTGTCCAAGCTCCACACCGTCTTCTCGCCGCGGGCAATGGCAAGAAAGCCCGCCAGGCGGCCGATCCGCTCAACCTCCTCGCGCGAGTACGGCTCGCTGTCCCACGCCTTGCCGTCGCCCGTGTCCTCCTTGCGCTCGCCAAAATAGATGCCGCCTGTCAACTCCCGGACGATGACCATGTCGGTGCCGCGGCAGACCTCGGCCTTGAGGGGAGAAAAGTCGACGAGGGCCTCGGAGGCGAAACTGCAGGGGCGCAGGTTACCGTAGGTGCCCATTTCCTTGCGAAGCTTGAGAAGCCCCTGCTCCGGGCGGACGGCGCCGGTACCCCATTTCGGGCCGCCGATCGCGCCGAGAAGAACGGCATCGGCTCCGTTGGCGGCGGCGAGGGCCTCGTCAGTGAGAGGGGATCCGGTGGCGTCGATAGAGGCCTATTCGGGCGTGTTGTCGTCAGTGTGTGCTCCTCAATTGGGTCATCTGCTGGGCGCGGTCGGGTGGATTGCTTGGGACTTACACCGCCGAGGAGGTGATCCTGCAAGTTGAACTTGCCGGCCGAAGGGCTATTGGCCTCAATTGTCTTGAGCACCTATGAAAGACGAGAATTAATCAGTCTCATGGTGCATGCCTTTCTGCTGACGATTGAGTCCATCGGCCTACCTTGACAGCCTCCGCGACGACCTGGAATAGGGTTTGATTAGCTTTCTTGCCCCCTCATCTCCTCGCGTCTGCCGAGCGAAGCTCCTGTTAGGCTCACCTCGGGACCACAGTGGTCGCCAGCAAACACGACAATGTTGTGCGTCGCCATATTGAATATGATTGGGAGGGAATGGGCGTTCGTAGGGAGGCTTCTAAAGAAGAAAGGGGTATCTGCGCAATGGGAGAAGGAAGGTTGTCGAGGAGAGAAAGTGTGAACAGCGAACGACTTGCACCGGTAACCTAAACAGATGAGCTGCGGCCCCGCATCCCACACAAGATTTAAAAAGTGCAGGCCCGGCCTCAACCCCGCCTTCCGAAGTCGGAGGCTCAGGGAGCTGCGAGCTCAGCTCTTGCCCCGCAGCCCCAAACACCCCGCAAAGCTTCGGGGCTTAGTTCGGCTTCTAGCGGTGCCCGGTTCGTTCCGGTTTCCACAAATTCGTCTTCTTCCGTCCACCTCATCCGACGACGACCATTCCCATGTACGTAGGGTGGATTTGGGCAGAACGACACAAGTCAACGACCTGCCCGTGGTATTACCGGATTCGTTTTCCGTCCTCGGGTAGAACACATCTACTGAACACTGATCTCATCACAGTTTGTCTTCCCCATTTGACGGCGACCTGTGCATCGTCACTTTACCTCAGAGCGCCTCGGAGCGAAGTCTCAGCATCATCTCATTGGTTATTTATCATTAAGCCGCAAGTTTATACTTGGGTATCATATGTACTCATCAATATCCAAGATGATTTGATGGCGAATCGCCCCGTCCTCTTTCTAGACTTTTTGTTCTTTTTTCCCCTGAGTACCATCATCGGCTTTATCGCATCTGGTCATTATCATTCAGCTCGACCGCATCCATGGATTACCGGAATGATTTGCGAGCCAGAGGGCTTGCCCCTGATGGACCCAGCGCCGGGCCATTGCCGCGCAGCCGACCACCCCGCATGTTGGGCGTGTTCGAACAGAAAGCACAGATATATACAGTTGGGATCGTCCGCCTGGAGATGTTGATGCACAAACCATGAAGCCACATTTCGCAAGATTCGCTGTCCGACTGTCAGTCCCGGTCAAAGTGAAGACATCCTGTGTAGGCTGGCTGGAAAGGGATCGGGCAACATACCATTGAACCATGTACTCTCCTTGTTTATTTGCTCCGTTCCGACAAACGCACCGAACGTTATAGGTCGCCTTTGTTGGAGACGGAAGGCTGACTTCGGTGAATGCTGTCGGCGACACCAGCCCCCCATGGCTATCTTGAAAACTCCCGGGCGCAAACAGCTGTGACGCTTGGCTGGACGGGGCCTGCGGCCCTCGCCTCTGCCTGTTCTCGACCAGCTTCCGTAGTTCGCTTGCTGCGTCGCCACCCTTTCCTTGCGGCTCGTGCATGATGGTCTCCGCTTCACTCTCGGCGTCATGTTGCGAGACTGACGCACCGAGGCTGCTCGAGCTGTGTTCGCTGACACTTCTTCTAGATGAGTGGAACACAGAAGCGGAAGATGGTCTTCGAGGGTCGGGTAGTGCAAAAGAGGTATTCCGGCTGGGGATGATGATTGGCTCGTCGTCTGTTGAAGAGTCGTCGTCGTCCGATTCCCAGCTCTTCTCCCTCCGTGGCATCTCCCGGGTTATCGGTCTTCTCTGCGTGTTACTGGCCATTGGGTCGTCCAACACCATTGTGGCCTCTGCCCTTGCTCTGCCTTTCGAATCGATAGTGAACTTGACAGCGGTCCGCGTGCGCGGGGGGGTTGCCTCGGGTATCGAGGTCAGGCCGGAAGGACGAGAATGGTGGTGTTTGAGAGGCGATGTCCTGCCGGAGGGACGGCTCGGTGGCCGGCCCGGGCCAAATGCTGGCCCGTTGGTGGCCTGCGGTCTTGGTTGTATGGCTGGGGCGAGTTTGGGCAAAGCTGCCTTTGCCAATCCGCGGCGCCCTCGGTTCTCGCTGACACTGCGCTGCAGGCCGTTTGAGCGGCTGTGTGACTTGGCGGGCGAGTTTATGGATGTATTGCCGGTTGGTCTACCAGTACCCAGCTCCTTCGTACTGAAGGAACGCCGAATGTCGGTGTGCATTGGTGCTCTGGATTGGGATTCCGCAACAGCAGCCAAGGCGAACTGGGCTGAGCCTTGCGTCATGGGAATGGCGGTGTTCATGCTAGAAGACGACGGTCGGCCAAACAGCAGGCCCGGATCAACTCCGCCCGGGCTCCCGAGGCCAAAGGGGTCGTCCACCGATGTCGAGAACGAGGTCGATGACATCGACATGTCTGCTGAGGCGGAGTGAATAGCATGCATGGCAGGCTTGGGAGCCAAAGGCCGAGTCCGCTTGGTAGGCTGAGAGCTCTCCTGACTACTTGGAGGTGGCAGAGCACTTGCCTCCTGGAACATTTGCGAAGCGTCGAACGACGGCATGTGGCGGTGACCCGAGGTGTGGAATACATTGGGGCCAAAAGAAAAGTCGATATCCATTCCTGACATGTCTGGACTCGGATCCCAGAAGCTCGCAGAGCCATTTGCCGGACCGGTCAAGGGGAACCCGAACATATCGGTGGCGTTCACAAAGGCCGCTGCCATGTTGGGGTGTTGTGGGGTCCCGGAAAAATCTGGCTGGCCGTAGCCGTGATCATTTTGCATATTGTCGGCCTGGAGCTTTGAAACCAGTTTCCGGCCGCCTTTGTGGGAAGATGGAGGAGGAGTGGCCGTCTGCCCGTTCAGGTCCGCGACGCTCTCCCTGCCTTTGGACTTTTCTGACACCACGCCCTGCGATACGGTCTCTGGGTTCGGCGGCCCGCCCTTTAGGCCAGGAAGCTCGGGTTCTTCGTTCGGGGGTTTGGGAGAGGAAGGCAGTCGTTGAGCGGCAGCAACTGGCGGCAAGGGTAGGTTGGGATTGGGCGAGAAATGGTTGGCATGTGTTGCTATCTGTGCAGCAAGGCTCTCGGCGGACAAGGGCCTCTTCAGGGTGGCCGAAGGCGGATACGTAGTGGTGGAAAAGTCGGGGAAGGAGCCCGGAGAAGCTCGAAGATTGCCGGGGGTTGTATTGAAGACGGAGTATTCCTCTGCAAAGCGAGGCGTCCAACCGCCAGCGTCGTCAAAGTGGCCTTGTCGCTGTTTGGGGGTCTCGAAGACGGGACTCGGGAACGTGGCGGAGGTGGGAGTCTGTTTAGGTGTGGGCGATTGAGCGTTTGGGTTTCCAAAGCTACAAACGAGTTTAGGTTAGCCAAGGAGGTTCTGGCAGGAAAGCCGGCCTGTTGATCTTGCGGCCTGTTGGGAGGCAGAAGACCAACGTGAACGGGGTAGGCTGGTTGAAATCTTGCCTGGACGCCAACTGATCCCCACTCATAGCAGTTCTACTGTAGTTCACACAACCCTAACTCGACATAACGTGAACCACCGTCACCAAGCGGAATTGTCGCGTTTCGAAGATGCTGAGCGGTTCCGAGCAAGGCCAGAAAACGCCCAAGGGTCGCAATCGGGTTGGAGGCGAGCAGAGGCAGGGCGGCGTGAAGTTGATGGATCGGCTCGTGAATGTAGATATGTGGGGCTGCCCAGGGTCGTATTTCATTCATTGATCATTACAGTGAGGTCGAAGACGGTAGAGTCATCAACAGGGAAATAAAGCGAGGGACGAAGAAAGGACTTGTGTGAACAGAAGCGTTTCCAAGTCCTTGATCCGAGGCAGGGTGGCTGGGAGTCGAGGGGGCGGTTTGCGGTTTGCAGGCAGGGAGGTCCGTGAGGTCAGGAGAGACAGCGAGCGTAAGCGTACCAGTGGAAAAGAGGATACAGAAGCAGAAGGATATCTAGTCGTCAGAGTCGCGAGAGAGCAGAGCAACAGCCTTGGCCGTAATACTAGGCATGCACAGCGCAGAATCGGAGGTTGCCGCAGCACGAGAGGAAGGAGGGGGGGGAGAGGAGGAAAGGAACGTCCAAGGGCCAATGATTGACCGTGAGAAGAAGAAGAATGAGAGAAGGAAGGTAGCAATAGCAACTACAGAGAGCTGCAGGCAGTTGCAGGAGCAGGTATGTAGAGTAGCAGTTGACAGTAACCGTACCTCGCTGTGAAGAGGCGTAGGTAACCTCAGGACGGCGCACAACGGTACGTAGAGAGGCACAGCTAGGCAGAGATGGGGTTTCCCCCTTCCCCTCGTTGGAGACGTGTTGATGCTTGGTAAATTTTTTTGATATGTGTGCACGGGTACATGAGGGTGAGGTACCTCGAGTTAAGGCAACCCGGTGGTACCTATCTTGGTGGCTAATGCGTTCTATTGGCGGAGGACGACGTGACAGGAGCACTGTCCAGCGGAGCACAGCGCACCTGGTGTGACTAGACTGCCCACTATCCGTGATAAGCTACAGGCTCTGCTAGGAGCTTCCCGGGGAACGACGGTTGCTCATCTCGTTGAAGGTTCGGTCAATTAAACCAAGAGACGTTTGCTTCTTGACCTCGTTCGCCCTCCCGTCCGTTGTTTCTCTCTTTCTTCGACATGGAAGCCACCTGCGTCTGCACATGACAGCACTCGCCATGACATGACGCCCCTTAACGGCGTTGGCTGCTTCTAGACCCCCCCCATCGATGCAGTTTGAGTGGAAACCGACTGTACAGGACCATAGGTGTGGCTCAGGCAGGCAGCGAGTAGTGGGAAGCCACGCTGGGAACCTCTAATGGCCGAATCATCATGAGCGCACTGGCGCTGACAGCGAGATGTTTCCGCCTGAGGGGTGCCGGAATCACAGCCGACTCTCGCACAGATGATGACGCTATGGTGCAGTGATGGCACGTCAAGGTCCTCCTGGAGGAAACAGCGGCGCATACTCGGGGTTTCAAGGTTCGCAACGATCGGATAATGAGTGGGATGTACGAATACCAGTACATGGCAATAGGCTTTCAGCCAGCCAACATGGAATTGCAAACTGGCGTCTGCCAATCAACGCACCCAAAGCAAGGGCAACCGACTAATGGCGCAATCCGCAGCAGAGAGACGGGCCTAGCCAAGGGCATGATGCTTCGACCCGGGTAGCTCACAAGTACCAACTGTTACTGCTGCTGTTGCTGCGGTAGGGAGACGGCCGATAGCAGGGAAATGCGATGAACTCTAGGGGCTGAAGAAAGGGCTTGCTCCAAGGATGTTCCTGAGTGGAATGGGCTTGTTTTTTGGGGGAGCCTGCGGCCAAGACATGCAAATCAGCATCTGCCCAACCACATGGGAATTGTTCTGGCCGGAGAGACTCGGTGACATGCGGTCGGTCCATCACTGGCTTCGCCTTACAGTATCCATCGAAGGCGGCGTCTCGGAACCGCTGTGCCTAGTTATGTTTCATCCTAGGCCGAACATCAGTTTGCTGAGCCGGTTGCTGGTTGCAACGGCTCGGCTGCCGAGCAAGCGAAATGCCCAAATGTGATGGGAAGGGATGGATCGTCTGCAGAGTCATGCAAGGTACTTGGCCAAGCCAGAGGCAGCCATATCTTCCGCAACTGCACTACAAGGCGAGTGGGGAAGCCAGATACACTCCCCGTACAGATATACACATATACCTACCTGCCTACCTCCTCCTACCTACCTCCTACCCACCTAGAGGTAAGTAGGCAGGCAGGGAGAGAGAGACTTCCCGCAGACAGGGAGAGGCAGGCAGGGACGACCTGCAGAGCGCCATCCATCCACAACTCGGCTGTAATCCTGCGCCGACCTGCGAACGAATGTACAGTACGGAATTTGGTTTACAGCCAGCCAGGAATGTCTGTCTGGGCAGCTAATGACAGGCTGCACTAGGAGCGATAGCCGTCGTCAGCAGCAGTTAGTTGTAGGATGAAGTGACTACCTAGCCATTTGGATAATCGTCCCCGCTCAACAATCAGTTATCCATCCGATCCGTACGGATACACTGCCTCACAACCACACTCATGGCGTCATTCCACGGCCTCAAGGGACGACCGACCCGGCAACCCCCCAGAATCGTCCCGTCCCCAAGACGACTCCCTTGCCGGACTGGTCACCAAGACCTCCGACGCATGCAAGCGGCGTGTGTGAGTCAACACGGCGCGCTGCGCTACCGGTACTAGCCCCGTCCGTCGTGCTCTCTCGCAACGCGCTGCACCTGATCGCATCGTAAAGCGCCTGTGTTTGCGTCAAGCCCACTGGACAGGTAGGAGCGGCGAGTGCTGGATCAGGGTACTCGTTTTTATTCGGTTGCCGAATCAACCCCCGCCATCGTGTCACTCGACGAGCTCCTCGTGGTGATGCCACTTGCGAAGGACGAGCCCTTGCTGACGTCTTCGCTCTGGCAAAGATGAATCAAGCCAAAGGCCGTCATCACTCGAAAGAGTATCCACTGTTTCGGAGCTGGCTGCAAGTAAGCTTCAGCTGTGCCTGGCCAGGGGCTTCTCCCCTACCACCGCAATGAAACCTTGCGGATGCAACTTTGCATCCTCAAACCCGGGACGGATTGGTTGGAGAGACAACGTAGGCAATGAAGCCCTCTATCAGATACCAATGGAGCGCCGAGGCGGTTGCCTTTTTAGTAAGACGAGGAGCCTCTTTTCCAACAATCGTCTTCTTTCCCATGACGGCAGAATGACAAGGGGAACTCAAGCCTCTGCCGAACAGGTCGACCAAAGGGGCAGAGTGAGACACTTTGCCGGCCGCTCGAGCATCAACACCGGTTACTAATTGGCCCCGCAGCTGACCGTAGCTGACCTCTTACCCTTTGTTCGCGCTTCAACCTCCTTTCGGCAACTGCACCCCTTGACTATTTCTGCAGGATGCCGATGCGGAGCGGGTATCTCACAAGTTATTAGCATTCTCTAGTAAGGCGGTTGGGGCCTCCTGACACTTCTCACCACTCATCCCAGAGTTATGAGCGCGGACGGGGCCTGACAGAACAAACTAGCGCCAAGATCCAGTCCAGTCCTCATGCTCAACACTCGTCGTGGTGTGTTATAATAGATAACGGGACTGCACTCAACGGCCATGTCCCAAAGTCAAGTTGCGCAACCCTAGAGGCCAACATGCCTGACTGTTGTTAAAAGGCGGTGCACGGAACAATGCTTGTTGGTTTGGCTGTCGGAGAATGTCAGAGTCACAAGCGCCTGACGTGTAGTTAGCGCCATCGGACGAACTTTCACGGCGAGAGCATACTGGCAGGCGCCTGAGCCGCACCTCAGCAAATAATTCGGCAGTCTCCAGGCCAGTTCTCGTGTCGCTAGCCGGATAGTATAAGCACAAAAGCCGCCGCGGAAGAGTACAAATCATGCCGTAGTATGCAGGTATCAGACGAAATGGTGTTTAGCTGAACGGGGCAAGAAGGACATCGGACGGTCTGGTATCTACACACACCATTAGTGGTCGGTCGCAATTGATTGGGTTCGCTCGGCACTGCTACGATTGGCGGTCCATTGGTCCCCCATCGTGTATCAACACCATTATCATCATCATTGCTGCGGGCTATTATCTCCGGCGTTCGGCATGAAGTGATGCTGGCTGGATGCCGACAGCCAAACATCCCCCCGCCACCTTGCTACATATGCGGAGCCATTCGAGCCACTTCAGGCAATTGAGGACAGCAGCCCGGCTCGAAAGACAAAGTCCCATCAATAATTCCATCCAGGGAACCAGGAAAGCAAACATCAATCAAATCGATTGGCTGGCACTACTTCATGACAGCTGCCATGTGTGTGGTGGGGAGCTGCGTAAGCAAAAGCTGTTGCCGGCCTGTCATTGGCTCATCGTCACTGCAGCTGCAAGGGGTTTTTAAGTGGTTGCAGTTGAATGCTCATTGGGTGATGAGACCTGGGTAGGCCATAAACCTGCACCGGCTTGTTTTACGCAGTACGGAGTACTCCGTATAGCAACGAAGTACCTCCAGGTCTGCCCACCCAATATGACGATACAGGTACTGTGCTAACTTTGGACATGCTGGAAGTTATTAATGGAAGGCGCCCCTTTCACTAACAGTCGGGTCCCTGCCGCCCCCCGAAACCCCGCTTCTTCGCGAGACCGCCGCAGCACCATCCAAGACCTAAACAGTGGCAGGTAGGTGCCTTCGAGTTTCTGTTCAGGGTGGCCGGCCGGGGCGTGGCATCGACGCCGACTCCCTCGCCAGCCGTTCCCGACCTGAGCGATTACCCCCCTGTTTTGTTCCTGGATCATCCCGTCCGCGTCGTCCGCGTCCAACCGACAGGGCTTAACGAACAGCCGGGATACGACTTCGCACCACCAGCGCACAGAACGGACATCACCAGTGGGGAGAGGGGGAGGGGGAGGGGGAGGGGGTGGATGAGGATCAGCTGCACGGCGGACGAAAGAAGGCGCGCAGCAATACCTACCACGGCCAGGGAACCATCTCAGCCGTACCCGGTTTTTGCGTCATCCTGTTCCGCGGTTAACTGCTTCCGTAGGGCGAGAATAAACACGATCGTCCGCCTATCGCCTTTTCGGTCCGCCAGATGCCGCCATATGAATGGTGCAGTACTACGTAGAGGAGGGAGAGCCTGTGAGCCGACCCCTCGGATACATAATGGCGGCGTCTTCCAGTCGAGACGCATGAATTTGGGAAATTGGAGAGAACCGGGACTCCCCTCCTCTGGCATCGCCCACTACCGTCGCGGACAAAAACCGTTGGTGGCCTCTCTTGCCCAAATAGATCGTCTTACTTCCGGGATACCTGTCGGATCGAAACAACCATCTATCTTTAGCAAAGAAAGACGGAGAGGCGTCACAGGGGAGGGGGGTGTGAAAAGTTTTGCAGAGTGGTTTCCTGGAAGAAATCCACGGGGGGAGGGGATCTCCAAACGGGCCTTCTCCGTGAGTTGTGATGGAAGGGCTAGTCTCTGGCGCCCAGTTCTCTCGCCCGGGACTGCCGTCCTCCATCGAAACGAGAGCTTGTTGCAGCCCCCAGTCAACCAAGCAGTCACTCAGTCAGTCAGTCGTCCTGGGGATCCCTCGACCAGGCCCTCATCAGACAGACAAGCCGGTGCGGCCCCTGAGTCGTCCAAAGTCTTCGTCCCAACATTAGCCGCCGTCACCCCAATTCTGCCCGGCACTTTGCCGTCCGTCCGTCGTCGTCGTCGTTTGTTTCCTGGAGCGGTGTATAGAGAGACCCCGTCGATCACGCGTTTGTACTGCGTTCGAGAAGATGATCCACCGAAGAACCGCGCACAACATGCTACCCGGCCCGCCCTTGAGTCCGCCCCTCCCCTCCACTCTCGAGTAGAGCACTGGAACAGTAAAACCCCCCTCAAGACACTGGATACCTACATGATGCTCGGGCACGTAGTCATACCTCCCCCCTCCCCCCGCCGCCCTCGGTCACCGTCGGCGGCGGGCGGGCAGTCGAGGCGAACGAAACGGTGGTCTCTCCCGATAGCGTCCACCGGTCACTCCGGGTTCCTGGTCCATCCATCCCACCATCCACCGGCCTATCTGGTTCCTGGTCTGATGTTCTTCCTCCGCAAGCCCTGGTTCTCTAGCGTGCTCTTCGACCCCCGACAGCCGGTGGGGAGCAGCCATCTGACCTTGTGAAGGGAGGTGGGGGTACGAGACTAGTAGGCAGAGCCAACAGGCAAACTTCGTGGCCTACCTAGCAGCATCAGCCCCAGTCGGCAGTTGGTCGTTCCTGGACCATACCCTTTCGGAAACGCAGATCGCAGGGCAGGGCTGCGTGGTGGAACACCACCACGGCGGCGGCGACGACGACCAAAGCCAAGTCCACGACACGCTGCACCCCAAATTCCCGTGCCCGCGGCCCAGGCCCAGGCCCAAGCCCCCCCGGTCCCTTCGCTCGGCGTACCTACCTCCTCCACCGATCTTACTCTCCTAATCGGCATCGAGGCGGTTCCCCTTTTCTCCTTTCTGCCTGCCTACCTTCCTGTTTCCTGTCCCGCAAAGGGATGAGTCCGGACGGCAGGCCCCACCCTGGAATACATGGCTCTCGAGTCAACGCATGCCACGTCTTCTTCCCAACCCTCTCGGTATCCCAGTTCTCTTAACCCCCCTTCCCTCCTTCCCCCCCCCTCCCCCCTCCCCCCTCACCCCGGTTGCTGGTAGAAGGAAACCGTGACTCTAAACCCGCTAAGTTTGCTGGACCGGGAGGGGGTGAAGGTAGCAAGGGCCGTCCGGCCCCCACGCTCTCTCCCTTTTCTTGAACCATTCCATGTTTTTTCTTTCGACAGCTTCGCGGCCGGGGGGGTTGTTCATTCACGGCGAGGTTTCATGAGACGGTTATACAAGGCGGCGATAATGGCCAAGGGGGGGGGGGCTTCGAGGAGTCATGGGGGGAATGCAACAGAAAGCGAGGTCGCGCGGGTTTCGGTTTGGAACAGAACCAGAAACCCCTCGCCGGGCGGCCCTGTCGGCTTCGTTGCCGCCCTCCCTCTTTGTGGGACGCGTGTGTCACAAGCCTGAGTGACCCTGACCTCTCAGTGCCGCGTCGGTCATCTGGCGCAGGAGGAGGAGGAGGAGGAGGAGGAGGAGGAGGAGGAGGAGGAGGGAAACGACCAAATCTCGCGAAAGATCACCAAAACTGCCTAGTTCTGAAATGGGCCGTTTGTTTGATTCCTCATTCTGCGCGTGGTATTGAGTGATGGAGATAAACGGGGGGAAAATAAGAAATTCTAACTGAGCACTATTTCACCAAGAGGATTTTTGTCCAACGATAACATTTCCTTTCCCTTCCATTCATATGATGGCATTGTCGTCCTTCCTCGTCCAGTGACTTTCAAAACAAGATGAATCCTTCCCGTTCCTTTTTTTTATCCGCGTCCTCCCTCCCCAGTTGTCGGTTCGCCTCGTCGTCCCTTTTTTCCCCCAAGTTCCCGTGAGTGAGTAAGGTATAGAGAGAGTAAAAAATAAAAAATAAAAAAGGAAAGGAACTCCCATGTATTTCCACCTTTTCCTCCCCTTGATATCATTGGTATGTCCTCCTCAAACAAAAAGAAACAAAAAAACGGAACAGCAGAAAAACAAATCAGGAAAAAACGAAACAAGGAGACTGGACGGCCCACGATTCTGGGGCCGTAGGTACATACCACCTATTTAGCTATCTACGATTAGGTTTGTCCTGGACAGAGTCCGCGACGAAGAAAAAGGAGTAAGTGGATAACCAAAAACTTGCGATTCGAGAAGGAGCGAGCAAGAACCAGAAAAATAATACCAAAAGACCTTCCTTGAAACAGGCCGGGAACTAGCCCCTTTCTCTTCCTGTGGCATTCGTTTTGGGTATGGCTGGCCGGTATTGAACTCTGCACTCTGGATTGTTCGTGTGTCGGGCGGGCGTAACAGCAAAAACTCGAATCCATTCCTCCGCTTGAACGTGGCATGAAAGACGTACAGTCGTGCTTTACTCATGCGTCAATTCAGCGTAGACAACGGCTGACGAGAACGAAAAGAAAAGGAAAAGGAAAGAGAAAAGTAGAAGAAGGGCAGGAGGCTTCAATCGTGATGGTCGTGCCGGTAGGTAAGGTAGTAGATATTTTGGAAAATCGTCCATGACACAGTTCTTCTCTTTTCTCCATCTCTTTCCTTTCCTCCTCTTCTCTGGATTAGGGGGGGAGGATGGCTGAGCGGTCAGACCCATGCCCAATCCCCCTAGCAAACAAATAAGTCCAACAACCCTCGAGTACCTCTCCCACAACTCTTCCGTTCCCCTTCTCCAAGGTTTTTCTCGTGATGCCCGTGTCTATAAAAGGTAAGGTCAAGGGGAAAGGCTTCATTGTCATTGTTTTTCATGACGTTTCGGATCGGCGTGTTTGTACCACAAGCACGCGCTGCGGCGGAGGTCAAATTGTGTAAAAAAAATAAAAGATAAAAGACAAGGCAACAACAAAAAAGAAGTGGTATCAGTCGTGTGCAATGTTTTTTTTTTTTTTGGCGGGGGGGGGGGGGGGGGGGGGGTGCGGTTTTGCAACCAAATAATCTCGAGATCAAAGATGGGTGGCAGCAACGGCTGGGCTCGCCATCAAATCATGCCAGGCATGCCCTCCAAAGGATTGATGACATTCCCCGACTGTCCGTGGCTCGCTCCCATTTGTGCATGGATCTGTGGCATGGGCGGCGGCACCTGTTGAAGGTGTTGGTGTTGTTGGTGATGGTGCTGCTGTTGCATCTGAGCGGGCGTCGGCGTGTTTGTGCCGGCCACCGCCGACGGGGTCATCTGGGGTGTGATTGGGGCCTGCTGTGGCATGGAAGTCGCCGACTGTTGTTGCGGCTCAACCTTTGGCTTGGCCATCTGAGACGCCGCCAAGTTGCGGTTGTGGTTGCTCTCCCGTCGACGCTTTGGCGCGTCCTTGATCTTAGGGTGGGTGTGACACTAGAGAGGAGACGAGTTAGTCGCTGCTGTGACGCATGGCGGTTTTGTCACGGCCGGGTGCCGCGTTACATACCTTGTAGGCGTGTCTGAACCACGTGGTGCCCTTCTTCTTGCTGCTAACGAGTGCAATCCAATCATTGCAGCTGCCGCACAACCCTTCCCAGACGTCCGGGTTACCGTCCATTCTGCGAGTCTCCTGGGGCTCCTGGAACGGGTTGCCGGTGGCGGCGCTGATGCCGTGGGTGAACGACTTGTCGTACCAGAATGCCGAGTTCTTGAGCACCAACCAGCGGCCGGGCTTGCAAATTCCGCACCATCCCTCACGCTTGTTGCCGTGGCCCCTCACCCATCTAGGGGTGTATAGGTCGCCCTCGAACCGCAGTTCTTGCTCGTGCGGGACGAGATCCGGGTCGGACGGGTTCATGTCTTCAGGTGGAGGCGGGATCTGTTCCTCGTGCAACGAAGCGTAGAGGTCGGGCGGGTCTGACAGGTCCGTGTAGTGGCTGTGAAGAGAATGGGGGTCGGCATTGCTCTGAAGCATACGGAAGAGGCCATGGGACAGTAGCGGCGGCGGGGCCTCGAAGTGATGGGCATCGGGATGGAAGCCGTTGGACGGCAACTGGGATGGCAAGAGCATGCTGTTCATGCTGTTCCTCTGGTACTGCGGCTGGGCAGCCATCATGAACGGGTGGTGCTGCTGGGCTGCTTGGAGGTTGGTGAAGTTGAGAGGGACCTGCTGATGCTGGATAGTGGGCGACGAGTGTCTAGAAGACATGCGCTGGTGAGCACCGAAGGCGTCGTGACCGGGATGGAACACGAACGGTGTTTGACGCCGATTCTGTTGGGTTCCATACGATCCTGTCGACCATCTCTTTGTCGTTCCACGCTCAACGCTGTACGGAGCAGATCGCATTCCCGGACGTGGTGATGGAGAGGCGCGGCCACGGCTCTGGGTCCTGACGAGTTCAGATCGGCTTTGAGGGGTCATTCGAGGAGACGCCACGGGCGATAGTTGCGTCGACGACATCAGCGAATTGCGGTTAGACGGCGGGGGGTAATCTGAACTGAATGACGGTGCCTCTGACAGAGCAGCGGAGAAGTCTTCGTAGGATGGCATGTCGGATAGAGCACCGGATGTCGACATGGTGAAGGATGAGCCCGACATGCGCCTTGGGTTGGGGCCACAGTCGAAGTTGAAAGGCTCGCCTTCTTGTTGCTGGTATCTCAAGTCAAGAACGGGAATAGCCTCATCCGAAGTGTACGCTTGGCCAATCATATCAGTGTCCAGGTTGGGGAATTCAAAGGTTTCCTCGCAGGGCTTGTGGTTCCAGTCTGGTAGTACTGTTAGCATGCGAGGTAACCTCTGGCGAGGTCGACTCACTATTCTCCATCGTGGTGACGGGGTAGAAGTCTTGCTGGTGAACCGAGACGGGGCGGGACATGGCGTCGCTTGGAGTCTGCTGCATCGGAAGGGGCGAAGAGTCCCACGAGGTGAGGGCGCCGTAGTCGTCGCCCAAGCTGTAAGAGAAGCCCTCGTGGATAGTAGCAGGACGGGGCCGCATGCCCTGGGACGTCGGGGTAGTCCAGACTCCAGTGGGCGCTCCTACGCCCTCTTGTTTGATGGGCATGTCGTTACCGTTCATGTTGATCATGGGCGTTGTGCGAGGCGGAACGTCTCTTCTGAACTTGTTGTTGGGGTTGAAAGTGAAGGAAGGTGTCTGTATTTGGTGCCGACTAAATCGTACTTGTAAGTCATGTATGCCGGAGGCTGCAGGGACGGATTGGGTGCCTACAGCTGTGCCTGAGCAGAGTCCATGGTGCTTAGACAGGAGGAGGACAAGGGAGCGTGCGGTTAATCAATTATTGGGTCGATGCTGAACGGGGACGGTGGGTTGTTAGCATTGATCCTCGGACGAGGGGCACCAAGGGTGGCAGTTGCATCTAACGGCAGTCGCAGAGGGGGGGGGGGTGGAGGTCCCACAGTGCCCACGTAGCGACGAGCGCGATCCTACAGGACGCCGACTGGGAAGCACTTCCAGGAACTTACTTGGAAGAGTCTGGCGCAGTGGCCAACCTCGGCGGAGGGAGACAAATAATCGCCGAGCCAGGCGAGTAATGGGCGGGCGGACAGGCGTGCGTGGTTGCCGCTTGCTGGGAGCAGGGGAATGCGTAGATTTCTCTCTCCCCTTTCCTTTCTTGACGCTTCTGGATCTCTTTTCGTCCCTCTTATATTGCAGGGCGTGCCGTTTGGTAGTGAGCGTTAGGGACAGGCGGGTCCTCGCGATGAGGCTAGTGACGGTGGTAGCGAGAGGCGGTCGGGGTTCCCGTCCTTGGATAGACTGCGAGGTGTAGAAGGTGAGTGGTGGCGGGCAATTGTGTGCCGGGGCTATGTAGGAGTAATGTATAAATTCGTACGATACTCGAGGCAGCAGGGTAAAGGAGCGTGAGGAGTTTGCGGTAACGGGCAACCTCGTTTGATGACTTGGTGACGAAGATGAGAAAGCGGTGATCGTCTGGGTTCCTGGCAGGGTGAAGAGAGCCAGCTCCCGGAGAGTAGGTATTATAGATGAGAAGAGGCAACACCCCCTCGGGAAAAAGAAAAAAAATAGTATTATAGGTTACAAGGCTCTCTCTCCCTCTCTTTTTCCGAGTCAAAGAAAAAAGGAGTGACTAGCAATGGTAGTCAAGAGCAATGAGACCTTGGTAAGTGGGACGCAAAAGGAGAGCAAGAAGAAGACAGGTCGAGGGGCGGTGCAGACGGATCCTGGAGGTATAAAAGAAGTAGTGTGGGAAAAAGAAGCATCATCCATGAACAAACCAATAGGTCTGCACGGTCAGGTTCGGAACGTCAGTTGGGGCTAAGCCGGATTCCCTGGTACAACCCTCTTCCTGTCTGTGAACCTGGGGGGCGCGGCGGCAGAGGCAAGCGTGCAAGAATGGTGCTTGGCCTGGCTCAGTAAGAAGAGAAAGACGCAAGGGCGACTATTGCAGGGATGTATTTCTGGTGGTGGACAAGGTCACATCTGTTCGTCGATGTGGATGTGTGGGAGCGAGATGCCGATGAGCCAGGGAGCGGCCTAACTCCCACCTGCTTTTGGAAATCGAGGACAAGGATCAAACAAGCCAACAGGGCTATACCCAGGTTGTGAATGCGTGTTCATAAACTATGTATATGGCACGAACTCGGTACTGCAAGAAAAAATGCGTGATTGGGAAGTGGAGAGGCGAAATCTAGTTGAGGAAGAGACAGAGAGAGGCCCGGATGGAGAGTGGAAGGACTGGGAGGGAAAGAGCTGACGGTGGTGTGGAGAATCCGAGGGACTGAGAGCCAAATTTGGGGGAAGGAGGGGGGGGGGGGGGGGGCGTGGAGGAGCAAAAGAGATACTTGAGATGGAGTAAAAAAGAAAGGCGAAAGGAGGAGCCCATGAACAGAACGGACAGCCAGCCAGTCGTAGAGAAGCAAGTGATGGGATGGAAAAAAATAAAGGGAAAAACCAAAAAGAGGAATGACTTACCGGATGGACGTTCACCTGCGGTTACCGTAGCCCATACAGTACCTACCATGGCGATTATTTCCTTCCAAAGAGCCCATCCATCTTGTTATACGGATACACCTACATGACCTTTTCACACAACACCCTCCCTCTTCTAGATCTTTAGACCCCCCTCCCCATTTCCGCCTCCTCGTGTCCTCTCCATATTGTGCACTCACGGCGGTGCAGGTGTGGATTTGTAGCAGAGATACTCGTCGTGACGAATATAGGACCTAACTTGGGCGACGGACCACCCGCTGGATCGCCATGTAGGTATCTCAGATATCCGGACACGACGTATGAGCTAGGAGATGCACCCCTTCGACCCCTTCGGTGGTCTCCGGCCAAGGCCATCAGGACTGAAATTTGGCGAGGACCCTAGCAAACAGAAGAAAATAGCTGACGAGGAGGTGGCTTGTCTCATCCCATACACCCACATGTTGCAACATGACCCCAGAGGCCGGTGAGAGAGAGAGAGAAAGAGGGAGAGGAAGAGGGGCCAGGAGACTGCAGGCGAGGCATCGGAACGGGTCATGGTTAGTGGCTCGGCCGGCATGTTGGACTTCATCTTTTGCTGCGCTGCACACAGCCTAGCAATACGGCGGATGAGTTGGAAGTAAAGGCAGAGCCGAAACTAGCTTAAACTGGGCCTGGTCTGATGCTCTACTTGGTTGTTCGTGGTTTTCAATCTCACTGCCCTTCTTCTTATCGTGTCTTTCCGCGGACGGGTTTTGCGCCAGGTTCCAACCTTTTTCGTAGCGGAAACCAAGGAAGAAGCAGGGGTCACGGACGAACCTCAGTCCAGTATCGGAATGATACGATGCGACTTGTCTGGAGTGTCAGTTGGTAGGGTAGGCCGAGTCCGTACGGCACGTCTGCAAGGTAAATCCGCCGCGGTGCTAGGCCCATTTTTGATCCTGTCCCAGGCCAATGGAGGGGGGGGGAAGGACATGGGGGCCATGGAGAGGGGTCTCGGGCAACGTCTGTGTAGCAGCCGGGTGTGGGAACTCGGGATTCTGTCGGCGGCCTTCCTGGGGCCAATCAGGCTCGGGTACGAAGATCATGAAAAGAGAGTGTTTGGCAAGAGAAGCAAGAGGATCCTGACGTCGGGCTCTCGTTTTGGCGGCGAGAGCGGTACAGGGGTAGCCTTGCTACTATTTTGTCAAATCCCTGGTTCCCCACATGATGAACCTGGCATCCTATCCTTTCCAGCAGATCCGCTCTCGGGCTTCTTTTTCTTGTTCGTTCGGCCGTCGTGCCAATGACGAGCAAAGCCGCGACAGGCATAAACAAGCACGGTTGCAGCCATGATGTGATTTTGGGTTGATGCGAGCGAACAAGAAATGCCAGTCTTCAGATAGATCGATGAGTCTGCGGTGGCGGCTGCAAAACAAAGAGGCTGATTTCAGATCGCAGCTCGTCGAGCTAGCTGAGCTTAAGCTGACCGCTGCAGCATGCAAAGCACACACGAGATCGGAGAAGATGCGCCTAGGGTCGATGTGAGTGGATGACAGTTGGACCATCCATCTCGTTCCATTCTGTCTGGCTGGCTGGCTGTGTTCCGGGAGGGGCTGCAGGAACATATCTACCAGCGGAGTGTTGCCGAGGGGAGACAGCCTCGGAACCATGTGGACGAGAGGTCAGACGAGATCCCAGTCGCAGCTATGGCTCAAGTTCCAGTTACGGTTCCAGTTCCAGGTCCAGTTGTTTCCAGGCCGGCCCACCTGGGCCCTGATACGATTCGGCAAATAATTGGAATCTTTCGCCTTGTGCCAACGGGCTAGCCAGCCAGCCCGGGGTTGGCAAGTGGGTTCGAATGTTTGGGCATGGTTAAGAGGGAAAGAGGAGTCAGGTCAGTCGTCGGTTCCGCTGCCCAACAACAGCCGAAGGGGACGAGTGTCCACGCGACAGGCATCGCGTCTCCGAAAAGGCCCAAAAGGGAAAGAAGATGAGAGAGAGTAAAAAGGACGACATGATGGCGTACGGAAACCTTGTGGACGGGCAGCAAAGGCAATAGTCGGACCAGTCTCCCCGCGGATACGGAGGCGAAAAGAAAAGGGGGGAGGGAAGTTACGTGTGCATGCCATGGTATTGAATCGGGAGATCAGAGCAAAAAGAACTGACGAAAAGATCGTGCCACTTAGCACCAGTGATGGAGGGTATATGGGGCGCCATGATGGAGCCGGGACACTGTAGGCCTCTTTGACATCGTTGGTCGGCTTGACATGGTGGTGATGGTGGTGGTGCTGTCGGCACGGAGCAGGCACGTTTGAAGTTGACTTTGAGCTGGCCAGCGGCGCAATATGATTTGTCGCTGAGGTAAGCATGTGCAGGGGTGGGGCTAGAAGAGGGGAGGTGTGGTAGGGGGTAGGGTACATGGCAAGCGGGCTGGCCCTGGCCCTGTGTCTCGTCGTTCCCGTACCTAGAGGGAGAGCGGGGTACGTACTCTCTCCTTGTGCCCCCCCCCCTCCTCTTCCTCTTCCCGTTCTCCGTCAACACCAATTGAAGTACGGCGTATGTGTCCGTGTTATGTGTGTGATGTGTGTGTGTGTGTGTGTGTGCACTATACCACGTATTTTTGTAATATTTTGTATGTATGTACCTTGCAGAGTGCAGCTACCACACGGCATCTTGCAATCTGTCTAATGACATTTTATCACCTGCTGCTGGACGTGTCCCGTCCGTCCTTACTTTGCCAGCTTGAAGGTTTCCAACCAGGCGTATCGGTAACGCAACCTCGTTTGTTTTCTTGTTCTTTTCTTCGTCCGATCCCTGCCTGCCGCGTGTATGTATGTGACTTATCTTGGACTCAACTCGGTGCCGAGCAGCTTGTCTGTCTCCGGCCCTCGACCTTTCGTCGTCTTCTCCGTCGAATGCTCCTCCTGTCAAAACCTTGCTTCCTGTCCAGCTCCCCTTTCCGATGTGCCGAACCCCCCCGCCACGTCAAGGAGCTCGAAGCCACACGTTGAAATGTTGAGCCACGGTACGGAAGCCGCGTCCCTTACTATGGCGTAGTATGGGTAGGTATCCGTAGTTTGGTAGTGTAGTGTGACAAACCACTGACTCGCGGTCGTGACTTGCTGGATTTAGGTCTTGTCGACTCCAAGTCCACTGGGGATGTGGGGGCTGTGCCAGGGGTTTTGCAGGGATGCAAGCCGTCTCAGATCTGTCACAGAACCACACACCCTTGTCTCGCTTTGGTCTCCCGACTAGGTTGGCCGTTGACCGCAGTCCCTCTTTGTGACCTCTCAGTTGCCACGCGAACCCCCCTCCATCCCACTGTCTTCCAGCCTCTCCGTGCTGCTATCGTGTCTCATTTGTGTGCTCACCAGGCATCTCTCACGTGCCTTCCGTCAACCACAGCTTTCGCGCCTGCCAAGGATGCTGCCGCGACGTTACTGAAGCCTTCGATGCTACTGCATCTTGTAGATCACTCGGCTTCACTTTCGCCATGACAGGTTAAGCCTCCTCTTGCATCGCCTCCCGCCTCATCTACGTGTATCCAGCAATCAATCAACCCACTCTGTGTTCGTTAGGCCGTGGCGTGCCGCACCTCACCTGCCATCAATTGCATGTATGAATGATACAGCTTGTATTCCGTACCGCTTCGTTTCCGTTTGCATGCTTGTTTTCTCCTCATGGTGGCAGCCGCTCCGGCACAACCCTTTCTGCCGTTCCTTTGGTCCCAAGTCCTCCTTGTGCTTTGCCGTCTGTGGGGTTCGTCCCCATCCAAACGGTCTGCCCCCTTGTGACTCTGCCAGACGTCCGGCTGCCGCGGAAACCAAATCCAAGATCGAATTATATCAAATACTTTTGCCGCACAGATGCCAGCGTTTGGGCTCTTGTATGAGACGTGAGACTTGTCAAGAACTGGCCAAGTCAGGACGAAACTCACGACACATCCGGATCCTCTGGCTAAAGTGGCTCTCCCTCAGCGCCTGTTACTTCTTGCCTGCTTATTCAACCATTACGGGGTGCCGTAACCTTAACCTCCCTCTGCAAATCGACCTACCTGTAAAGACGGGTTCCGTCCGGCTCTTGCGCCAAGAAGGTTCACTGATGCTGGCGATCCAACAGATCTGGCCTTGCGAGTGGTTGCCCCTCACCCCCCTCCTCCTCCCTCCTCCCTCCTCGCCGTTGCTCCCCCCCCCCCCACGCCATCATCCCTTGACGCGCCTCTTAGCGAGCCGCGCCCATCGTCTCGGATAGCCTGCCATTTATTCCGTCGTCTGCTGTGCTGGATATACGTACCTCAACCTTGTGCCACAATGAGCTGATCTGGACCACAGCTTCAGAGCCACAATTCTGACAATAGAGGATCCGGCCGAAAGCTGGCTGAAGGCTGATATCGATAAGAAAAGAAACTTGTTGTTCTTGAAAACAATCAGGATTGCCAGCAAAATACCAATCGCTGAACGACTAACTAGCCGCTTGGCAGCAATAATCCGCGTCACGTTACGGGTAATGAGTCGTCCATCCACATAACAGAAGTCTGCTATAGCTCAGCCATCCATGGATCTCCTAGATAATTCCATAATTTTCTCATCTGCGATGGTCGCCTACTCTCGTCATTGCGGTACAGATTGCGGCCGCGCCTTGAGATCTAGGGATCACCATCCGGCATGGAGTGTACACGCGTAAATTGGCCCTCCCCCCAAAAGAAGGAGAAAAAGAAACAATTAAAGAAAAGGTCATCATTCGTCGCCAGCACTGAGCCCGTGGATTGTTGAATCTTGCTGTGCGAATACGTTGGTGACAGCCCACCCATTTGCGAATACTGGCATGGCGCTAACGACGTACATCGCCAGTCAAAAACTCTTTCGTCCGGTCCTAAGGGTTGTGTCTCTGTTAGTGAAACTTAGCGTGGTCCTCCTTTGTAGGGCAACGGTCACGGACACCCCTCTTGCCGCCATCACACGCCACGGACGCCGCAAGGCGAGGAAACTAAGAATTAACGCTCCCCTTTAGATCAGATGTGTATTCCGAGAGCCGCCCAGAAGGCCGTCCTTGACCCCTTCGTCTGTGCGATGGATGCAACGCTCGTCTCTCGCCGTTGGCCTCCCAGAGTCTCCAGTCTTCTCTGGCTGGCTTCTGCCGTGCCTTCGATGAGTTGTTCTGTGGATCCTCCGGACTGGCCGCCGGCATGGGCTGGCTGTCTTGCTTGCATGACAACCACGGACGTTTTGGGAAATTACACCAACTCTCCAGCCATAGTCGTTGTCTATAGCACAGCTCTTATGGAGATCATGGACCAATGATGACGCGACTTTATCCCGCCATTGATTGTTTGTCGACTCGGCTCAACTAGACACCAGACATCACGCAGATTATTGGGGGAGGCTGACAAGATCGTATCTGCAGCCGCAAGGGGAAAGGAGGCGAGCAAGGTAGCGATGAACTCTCCGTAGTGAGCTATGTTGGTCCGCGTTTTATCAGTCTTATCGATGCGTTTGATGTTTATCATAGCTAGAGCTAGTCCGGCTCTCTCATGGGTCGGCCAGGAAATGATGGGCTTGACAAGGCATTAGCTCCTGCTGGATGTGCTTTTCTCGGGTACCAGTTGATCTCTAGGTACAGGGACACCGTAAATAGAATAGACTGGATGTCATAGACTCCTCACGCCATCGCTCTTAGACAAACTTTCGTCAGTTCGTAATCCGGGCAGCCCTCGGGCTATCGAAAAGAAAGCAACCCTGACAGTGACCAATTGTGTGGACAGAGGAAGACTCAATTACGAAGCCGAACACGCTCGCGCGAGATCATTGGTGCAAGATCGTACAACAGGTGAACCTGGAGTCCTGGACGGATATTGTGCAGGGGCAAGGGGGGCAGAAGCTGGGTGTATGATGCTTGAAGTTGGAGTCCGGCAAGCATCACCAGCTGTAATCGCCCAGGAGAAACCCATCAACCAACCGATTGCTGCCCGTTAAATCGATCCTTCTCGATTTCAAGGCGGCTTCCCAGTTCAATTTAGAGTTCCAACCGAACAACTGGGTCTTGATAGTGAAATACAGCTTGATATTCTGGTACAACGCCCTCAAAGCAGTTCTAGTCTTTGTTGATCCTTTTCCATACCTCTTGCTCAGCTGCGGCTAAAGTTCCGCCGGCAGCTTGCGCCCACTTTTTTGCCGTGTCCCAAACCCCCTCTTCGGGCTGAGCTTGGAATCCTCTCTCAGCAGACGATGTTACCGCAGCATGATGAGCAGCTCTCTGGTGGCTGCTGAACTCAGACGCACCGGCGTCCTGTTGGTAACCCGGAGGGTGTTCAAGGCTACATGCAGGATCGCCTCCTAGCGAGATGGGTCGTGGTCCAGTCATCTGAGGTCCGGTAGCAATAGACGTGGAAGAACCTCGCAACGCCGAATGAGAAATGGTTGGGGGAGGAATGCCCATCTGTGGAGGGTAAGGAAGGGGAGCGGGCGTTGATGCTGGAGCTTGGTAGGCCTCGCCCGCCTTCGGAGGCGGAGGCAGCGTCGAAGAGCTTGTCACGGGCACCGGGGCAGCGCCTGGCTGGGGCGGCGGAGGGCTGCCATCATTCGTCTTCTGAGTTGGAGTTGGCCGCGGCGCAGGATATGCTTGTGCGGAGGCTGTCTGGACAGGGAGAGACGGGGCGGCAACAGGCTGTGCCGGCGGGTATGGCTGCTGGTGGGTGGATGATGGTGCGAGTGCGGGTGGGGGTGCGCCGACTTGACTGTGCGATAGCTCGGGGGCGTTATTGGAACTGGCGCTGGAGTGTGGCTCCTCAGTTTGCGGAGTAGCCCCCGATGCCTTGGAGGCATTGATCGGAGTGTCTTTGAAGATGGGAATGGCAGGCATGGCTTGATGTCAAACTTCTTGGCTTAGAGTGAGAGATGAACTGAAATGCGGGGTCACAACGTGTATAATGCTGCGAGGTGTCTATGCTGTAGGATGGTCTGAGTTGAATTGAGTGGATGGCGAGCGTCTTTCGTGAAATGTGTTTGAAATCGGTTCGGAGTCATAAACAGACGTGGCACGTTGTGTAGTCCCTCCGTGACAGGCGGAACCTTATGTGACGACGTCATTGCTGATGGTTGGGGCGCTGTCAGGTGACTAGAGGTAGCAGCAGCCCGGACCTCGAATGCATGTTTCCTTCCTTTGCTCCCATGTTCGTCCCTACTGCTTCCTGGGGAAGCGGCGTCGTTCCGAGAAAAAAATGTCTTTGTGGTTAATGCAAATGACGGCAATGTAAACAATTGTAACAGCGGGTATGGGGACAGTCATCGGGCAGCTCTTGGTAGCATCACTTGCCTCGCGGTACTTTCCGGGAAGAAATGCCCTACTGGTACATCTTGGAAAGTTAGAGTTACAGGCGTTCACCGAAGTCCCCGGGAGGTGCTGGCCTCGCATCAACTGTTTGGTCTTTGATACGGCGCAAACTGTCGTGTCAAGTTCATCCACTCAGTTCTCGCTTATGCAAAACAAACGATTGTTAGGCTGCGAGGCATGAAGCAACCAAATATTCAAGGGACAGTCCGAGCAACGTGTCTCATGACCAATGGTTTGCTACTGACTTTTCTGCTCACCAGAGCCGCAAGACGGTCTGCTGCCTGAAGTGCTTGGACCGCTTGAAGTCGCGAATCCAAGCTTTAGTGGATGGGAGGAAGCGGAATCACGTTGTCGATGACTTGACCTTAGCTGGCCAGCTGTGCACGCAATGCAGCGATACCACAAGGACCATCTGTTGGACAGATTGCTGCCATAGCGAGTGAGACTAATTCCATCAGGAACGCGTTGCGTGTCGTGTCAAGAAAGTGTTGTGGTTGTCGTGAGGTCAGGTTCGAGACGTGACATGCGACAGGTTATGGCGTCGTTGCAGTTTGGCTTCTCTGAGCGTTTGCACGTCGAAGCAAGCACGGTACGTACCGTCCTGGCTACATAATGAACAGTCTCGGCCTATCGTTATCCCGATCCTCCACAGCTCTCGGTTCGAGCCACGGCCTCTGGGGCTGACTTTACTCCAGCCACAGTTTCTTGTGCACGGACCAAAAGGCTGCCGAAGATGATGATTCGTTGCTCATGAGGAGGCTGAGGGTAATCCGACCTTGAGGCTGTCGCTATCGATCTGTTTTCCTGTTGGAAACCCATGACACCAACGCGAGCTTGCCCTCTGGCTCCAATTACCGGGAGCAAGTCGACACAATGGTAGGCAAAGTCAGTGAGAGGGTTCTCCTGCGGGAGGGTAAGTCAACGCGTAGCTGTCTACTATGATGTCCAAATGCTGATCGCGAATCACAGGCCTGGAGAGAACCGACAATGGTATGAAGCAAACCAGCTGGCCGGATGTCACACCAATCAACCAGAAGAATTACTATACGTAAGCTCCCTAGGATGGATTTTTTCATACGTCGCTTCGTCTTGATGCTGATGTTGTTTTCGTCAGGGATTACATGAAGCGCGACGACCAGATTCTCGCTTTACGACTCCAAGGCGACGCCACTCGCGACCGAATCGTTCAAGCTGCTAAGGACAGAGATCGTGCTCTAGCACAGAGTGGCCGCGCTGAAGTTCCTCTCGTTATTCCCGAAATCCAACCTGATGAAGCGCCTACCGATGCCGCCGCAGGTCTCGACCCATCTAAGGTTATTGTCATCCACCCTGGCAGTCAGAACCTCCGGATTGGGTTCGCTAGCGACGCACTTCCCAAATCGATTCCGATGACACTGGCGTCAAGATTCCCGCAGACTGAGGCTGAGATGCACGAAGCCCTTCCCCGTCGGCAGTTTGAAGCGAAGACTCAAGACCAGCAATACGGCGAGGAGTGGTCGAAAAAGTACAACAAGATGTGCAGCGATCTCAAATTGGAGATGCGCGCAAACAAGCGCAAGGTACTGCCCAATTCTAAGGAATTGGTGCTGAATTACAACCGCCGGACCGAGCCCGAGATAATTCAAACGCACAACGACCCCTTGCAAATCGATTGGACCGACGTCAACAGCCTAGACGATCCCAAATCATCCGCCTCCTGCTTCATCGGGCACCAAGCACAACGAGTACCTGACGATTCTCAGCCAAAATTTAAACTTTGGTGGCCAATCCAGCATGGTGTATTCAACGAGGACGATTACCTGAATGCCGAACACCTTTTTGACGATTTCGAGACCCTGCTCGATAAAGCAATCAGACAGGAGCTGGGTCTTACCAAGAACAGTATGTGGAGGCAGTACAGCTGTGTCTTCGTCATCCCCGATCTTTACGACAAAAAGTACGTCGAACAGGTCCTCAGATCTTGCATGACATGGTTCGAGTTCAACCGGATATGCTTCATTCAAGAGAGCATGGCTGCTACGTTTGGTGCAGGATATACTCAGGCCTGTGTCGTTGATGTCGGTGCCCAAAAGACCTCCATCACTTGCGTTGAGGATGGGCTTTGCGTCGAAGACTCTCGGATCAATCTGAAATACGGTGGTTACGACGTGACGGAGACCTTTATCAAGATGCTGCTTTACGACAACTTCCCCTACCAAGACATCAACCTCCGTAAGCGCCACGACTTTTTGCTAGCAGAGGAGCTCAAGATGAAGCACTGTACCATGTCCCAAGCAGACATTTCTGTCCAGTTGTATCAGTTCCATCTGCGAGCCCCGAATCAACCGACGCACAAGTACCAATTCAAGACCTACGACGAGGTCATTCTCGCCCCTATGGGCTTCTACGACCCGACAATCTTCGACAACAGCACCAAGCTTCAAGGCCGCAGGAAGTTGATTGAAAGGTCTTACAACGCCTATGACGTGGATATTCCTGATGACCCGACATCGGCAGCCCAGTTTGGCATTCTGGCTCTTGTCAAGCCTTCATTGAATGCTGCTCCTGCAAATGGCTTCACACAGTCACAGAACGATGTGTCGACGCCAGTCAAGGAAAAGTTGCAGCCATTCGACTTTCTCAAACGGGGCGAGAACGGTATCAATGGCACTCCGTTGGGATCCAATGCTCCGTCGCCGGCGCCTGAGGGTGTTAGCACACCGGTACCTGCGCCGTTTGTTTTTGGCGGAAGCAAAGATGGCGCCAACGGAGGCAGCCCGGCTCCTCCCGCAAGGAATGGCGGCACGCCGGGACCGAACGGTGCGACGACGGCACAGCCGCCTGCTGGCATGTTCGTTGATGCCTCTGCACGCAGTGCCAAGGCAATCGCGATCGAACGCGACGGTGTTCTGCCCACCGCACCATTGGATCTTGCTATTCTTACTAGCATTTACAACGCCGCCAAGGGGGACGACAAGAAGTTACGTGATTACCTGGGCAGCATCATGGTGGTCGGTGGCGGATCAAAGACTCCACAGTTCACTGTCGTACTGGAAGAGAAGCTCAAGGCTAGGCGGCCTGACCTGTTTGACCGCATTCTCGTCAGCAGAAGCGCGAGGGACATGGACGAGCAGGTCGTGACATGGAAGGGGGCTAGTGTCTTTGCCAAACTGCCGGCCAATGATTCGTGGATCACGCCATTCGAGTTTGAACGACTTGGCGCTCGGGTGCTGCACCACAAGGTGCTCTGGTCGTGGTAGACTGTATGATGACGGAAGATAAATCAAAATGCCGGCAAGAATTATCACGGTTTGGGAAAGCAACGGAGTCGGGGGTTCAACAGGGCTACTCAGAAACTGGTATTTTTTGGAGGCAAGTCGTGAGAAATGCCTGGCCACTGGCGTTGGGCGTCATGCTGATACCTCTTTCAATTCAAGGGGTAAAAACATCTTGCGACATGTAGCTAGGCCAATAGAAGTTTGTCGAGCGACCATCACAAAAGAAACCCTCCCCAGGAAATACCCGAGCTGAAATAAAATAAACAAAACACCAAATCTTTCTAACGTGTTTACTCTCCAACATTTGCGATTGGCCGGGCCCAAACTTTAGCGGGGTGTCTACTCCGTAGTCGTGTGCGTAATGGTGAGGTAGACGGTTAGTGCGGCGCTTATGTAAAGCGGACGGACTATCGGGGTTGCTGTTGCTATGTCCCGCACCGGCACTCCTACGGCAGCTACATACCCACCCACATTGACGTACTTTCTCCCTTCTGATCAACAATAAACAAAACCGCCCACCTCTCTCAGCATTGCCTCCGCTTGCTGCGAGATGTAAGAGTAGGTCCGGAAGGTGGTCTCCTGCAAAAACACGAGAATCACCTGAATTGCTCGGCACAACGCCTATTGCGTTACCTACCCTCACCATGGCGCTTCTATCCCGCTATCTGCCCTTTTCCGAGGCGACCACAACACTGCAAGCAGTGACATATCTCCTCGGCATCTCTCTCTTCTCCATTTCCTTTCTCGTCTTTCTCAATAGCAGCATATCCTTTGTTATTACCGACCTAATTGGCGTCAAGGATGGCGTCGGCGACATTGTCGGCACCCTCGGCTTCGTGGACGAGCTCGTTGCGCTCATCGCTTGTCCCGTTTGGGGGTTGGTCTCGGATCGGCTGGGTGTGAGATGGGTCGCAGTTATCGGATACGCCGTTATTGGCGCCTCCCTCATACTTTTCGTACAGGCGAAGAATGTGTATCCGCAACTGCTGCTGGCGCGCATTTTCTTTGCCATTGGCGCAACTGCTGCGTAAGTAAATTCAACCAAAGTCTTGAGCGGACGCATGATTGATATTCTTCACGATAGCGCCACCATGGTAACGGCCATCTTGCCATCTCTGACGGACGACGACGACAACTCCGACACATCCGCAGACGCTGTGAACAAGCCGACCTACAACCCCCGACTCAGCGTGGCCATGTCCCTCGAGTCCGACATGACCATCACCCCGGCGCGATTTCGCGGCATTGACGGAAACGTCCAGGCCGCGACCGCGAGCGAAAGGGAAGAGGCGAAGGCCGGCAAGCCCTCGGCGTTGTCGGGCTATGTGGGATTATTTACGGGATGCGGCGCACTGGTTGCGCTCTCGTTATTCCTCCCACTCCCAGCTCGGTTCGGCGAGATTGACGGTGTCACATCGGCCGACGCAGTCGCCGATAGCTTTTACGTCGTAGGCATTGTGGCATTTATCGTATCAGTTGTCGTCTTTTTCGGGCTGAGAGACCTGAAGGGCGAGGAGGGCAAGGGTTGGAACATCCTTCTGGGTCTCAAGGCAAACTCGGGCCTGGAAGACGACGTTGATGAGCACGATTCAGACCACCAGACACGGCCGGTAAGCAGTCCTCTCGCAATATCGGGGAAACATACTGACAGATCGCAGAAGGTTCTGCCATACCTTCGTTTGCTGCGAGACTCTGTCACGCTGGGCTTCACAGACTCCCAGATCGCCCTTGGATACCTGGGCGGCTTCGTAGCCCGAGCCTCTACGGTCGCCATTTCGCTTTTCATCCCTCTCTACATCAACACATACTATATCAGTAATGGCTTCTGTCACGGGTCTCCGCATGACCCTTCGCCTGAGCTGAAGAAGGAGTGTCGGGCAGCCTACCTTCTTTCGTCTATTCTGACTGGCGTAGCCCAGCTGTTCGGGCTGTTCGCTGCACCTTTGTTCGGCTACTTCAACAGGAGGCGCAGTCGCGTCAACTATCCTATCCTTGTCGCGACCGCATCCGGAATCGTCGGCTACATTGCCTTTCCCCAGCTGCAAAGCCCGGAATACAAGAACGTCGATGGCCGAGGGGGCAGCCTGGCCATCTTCTTCATCGTGATCCTGATCGGTATTAGCCAGATTGGCTCCATTGTCTGCAGTCTGGGTTTCCTCGGCCGCGGCGTTCTTACCGCAGATATCCCCAAATCGCAGATCATCGACACGTTTGAGGATTCGACTGAGGCCATGGAGGCACCTACCGAGTCTGCACCGTTGCTACAGCACAATGCGAGTGCAGATGCCGTGTCGCGAGTGCGGCTCAAGGGCTCCATTGCGGGCATGTACTCCTGGTTCGGAGGAGCTGCGATCTTGCTGCTCACAAAATTGGGCGGCTTTATGTTTGACGCCGTGTCGCACGGCGCGCCTTTCTACATGATGGCGTCCTTTAACGCGATCCTCTTCTTAGCCAGTTTGGGCATTGACGCCGGTCGCTTTTATAGAGACAGGCAGTGAAAAGTAAGAGAAGTGACAAGAGCAACAGACATTATTATTCAATCATCTGTTCATATGTAACTCACTCGACGTCCAGGGAGGTCCCGTACTCACCCGTCTCTCCATAAACAGTGCCAACATACCTCCGTGACACACAAGACCATATCCAATGATCCCGTCCCCAACAGTCTACCCACATTGAGCACAACGATACTCGTCGAACCAAACGGTCTCGCAAACCTTGTCCATCCTCGGCACATTTCTTTTTCCTCTCCCACCTTCGGGCATCTTGCTCGCCCCTCGCCTAGCAAGCTTGCGTCCGGCTTGTTCCCTCCGGCCCTTTCCCTTCCGGGATAGACTCGAGTGTGCTTTGCGGTAATGTCAGAGGCGACGTGGATCAGGTCCAGGGCCTGTCTCTGGTCCGTCCCAATCTCTCGGCCTGGCTCCGCCGTTCTTGCGATCTTGCCCGGTGCTCCTCGTACACCGGGGTTAGCATCGGCCCGCGAGACAGCAAGAGACGGCCCATCGTCACCCGCAGCACACTCCGCACGTCTGAAGCGGCCCGCTCGCATTTCTGCGCCTTTCTGATGGCCTTGGCCCAGGCCAGCTCCTGGGCGTCGGGAACGGCGAAATACGGGTGGTCCTCCAGCGGCTTCAGCCTCGCCCACATGCTCGCCGGCCTGCCTAGGGGCGTCGGCGGGCCAAAAACGTCGTCTGCCCGGGTCTCGTTGGCGGGCCCCACGGGCTCTTCTACGCGGCGGCCAACACGGTGCTCCGGGTTCCAGTTGGGCTCGCTGAAGGTGGTTGTCTCTCTCCCAGCGCTGCCGCATTCGGAACACACAGAGGGGGGGGACGCGGGCCCGAGTCGGCGGGAAGTGCCAAGGAGCCGGCGGAGGGTGCCGGGGCGCTCTCGGACTTTGCGGGCTTCATAGCAGACTGGACAGGGTATCGTCGCGGTCCACGGGCCCGATGGGGCGTCGGGGTTGCAGGTGACGTAGGGCATGGTTCCCGGGGAGACCTGTCGGTGTCGATGGGCTCTTGCTGTGGCGATGCTGATATGTCTGGGCTGTGTCGAGCGTGCTCTGCAGTTGTGTTCTGTGACAGTACTCCTGCTCGAGTATCATTAGTAAAGCAAGAAGAGGTCCTATAATATACTTATTAAATGCCATCGCCCACCACTCACAAAGCCGTCCATCGACATGCGGCCGCGTGGTCCTCGGCCTTCCAACACTGACACAAAGGGTGCACGAACAATCCCATTGCTGAGGTATTCAAACGATATTTTTTGCTTGTTAGAAAAGAGACCGTGGGGGGAGAGCTTTATGGCCAAGTCCTTTGTGGGAGAGAACCGGTTCCCGCTTTGTTTTGCTTTGGTATCTTGTTGGATGTCTGGCAAGCTGGTCTCCTTTGAGGGTGTTGAATGGTAACTGGCTGTTCGTCGCGGCCGTGTTGGCGAAATTGGGGAGTAGGAGGGGTTGGACTGGGCGGTGAGGTATTGGGCCGATGCCATGTTTCTAGATGGCGATGTCGATGTCCTTCTCTTGGGAATACTGATGGTATGGATTGATGGCGGGTGTTTGCATCACTGGGGCTGACGTTCGATTACAGCCGTCACGGTCGAACCGCATCCAAGTGAGCGCCTTCTCTGGAGGCGAAGGCCTTGAAGCCTCTCGATTTGCCTCACGAGGCTTTGATAAGGGGCGGGGCTCCAGGTCTCTCCTCCCGTGCTACCAGAAGTTTTACGATAGTACGGAGTAATGCCCCTTGTGTTTGCACATTCTCGAACTCACCTCACTTTCTCGGCGAGAGCCCCTCTCTGCCTTGCGGCCGTATGCAACTTGCAAGCACACTTGACCATCCAATGAAGAGTCTTGGTTAGACCTTGCTTTCAATAACCCGCGTCATTAGTACGGCAACAGTGCCGCCGTCTACTCGGAATGCCCCCCCTCTACAATACGTGTATTCTTGCTTCAACAACAGTAGAAGTGCGTCTGGGTGCCGGCTCATCAGGGATGGGGCGCCAGCATCAGTGGCCAGGACGTAGAAAACCCATGTGCCAAGCCCATGGGAATAAGTGCAGGATCACGGAGTGTGTGGCTCGCCGTTTCGAGGGCCTTCTGGAGAAGAAATTCCAACTGCCTAGGTTCTGCGACAAATCGCATTGTCTTGTTTGATCCCCAAAACAAGAATCACAAGGGGGGGGGGGGGGGGTCCAGCAACACGCGGCCACACTCTTCTGCGGTGCGATGGTGTGTCCACCATGGTTCTTGAATTTTGCCAGCCTACAGCAGGTTCACCGAGTAACCGCCGAGCCTCGAGACACGGGAGCAAAAGGAATCGACTCCTGAGAGATGCTCCGCAGCCCACCATATTGTCATCGCCCAAAGGCCATCCCGAGCGGACACGTCTCCCCGCCTGGCGGGTCATGTCTGTAAGCGACGACGATCTCGGGCTTCAGCAATGGCGAGACAGATGGAAGCTCGAACGAGCCTTTTGTACAGTTCGACCTGAGCACTTTCTTACGCAGGATAGGAAACGTGAGAACAGAGAGTCGCCAACGTAGTGGAAAGCGCACCGCCCCCCCCCCCCCCCCCCCCCAAGCCGCTCTGGGCAACCGCAAAGCTGCACCTGCGCCAGCGAAACTCCCACGTTTTCCTACATGACCGATGGTGTCGTTTGCTGGTAGCCGCCAAGTAACATCGTTCTTGTACGTACACATCAGTTACCTCGCCTCGAAAGGGGAATAACTGCGGCGCACCCCTATGCGGGTTGGACTGTGTTTGTTGCCCACAATAGATGAATCCAGCGAGGGCAGAAGTAATGATTCCGGAAAGTGATCACCACTTCGGCTCGCGGGGTCGTCCCCACAGCCATGGCGAGGACTAGCAGCCCGTGGGCATTTTGTTTTCGCGGCCTTTCACTCGTGGCAACGGCTATGATCCGTACCCGTATGGTTGGTTGGGCACATCGGTCGATATAGGCATACGGGCCCGGTCAAGTAGCCCATGACAGGGGCCTTCAGTTGCTACTCCCGCGTGCTTGTCTCTTGGTTGCCAGTCGGTCTGGCACTTAGACCTGCTGGACGACAAAATGCCGCGAAGTGGTTCCAGACCGCCAACAACGCCGGCCGGGCCGGGCTGGGCGACTCGTGACGGCACGTAGGCTTTACAAATCCATGCATCCTTCATCACCAACAAGAGGAACGTGCGTAGACTTCCTCATCAGACTACTAGACCTCTTGTTTTTGCACCGACAAAGCAACCCTCGAATACTTATAGGATCAGCGGAGCGGCGGGATGTTAAACAAGAGCAGAACCAACACTCGGGTCGCAAGCCTAATAATATCATGAACCACAAACCACAGGTACTATCCTCGGAAGCATCGCCTTGTTTTGAGTAAACCATTTCCTTTGCAGTTATAAGCCAGCCCTTCTCACAGACACCCCCGTAACCAACGCGATCGACAGCGGGCCAGAGACCAAGTTGTTGTTTTCCTTATAGAAACCATGCAAAAGAGACCATTTTTTGACTTTTTTGAACGATACCGTCCTTGAGTACCTAGATGAAAAAAAGCCTTTCATTTATCGTGCAACGACCAGAAATCAGCCGGCCCAGTCCTCGGAAACCATGACGCAACCATCCTTCTGCACATCTCCCCGAAAACTGGTCCTTCCCTTCCGTTCTCTATCCTTGACTAGAGCGGAACTATGTGTCGGAGCACATTTCTTGCCTATATGTGGGCGGATATAGGTGCTGAGTAGCGTGGGCATTTATTTGCCGCCGAGGCTGGGGAACGCAGACTCATCCTTAGTGTTGATCTGCGCACCGCCCTCGCGACGGCCGCCACGGGGGGCACCGCCGGCGCGGGGAGCACCACCGCGGGGGCCATCGCCGCGACCACGGCCGCCACGGTCACCTCCGCGGGCACCTCCACGAGCACCGCCACGGGCACCACCGCGGGGACCGCCACGGTCGCCGCCGCGGGGACGCTCAGGCTCGACGTAGCGCTGGTCGATGTCCAGAAGCTGCTTGGTCTTGCGCTCGCGCTCGCGCTTGGTCTTGCCGCCGGTACCGATCATGAAGGTGTCGTCGTCGTCACGGGTGACCTCCTTGGCGTTGGCCCACTCCTTCTTGAGCTTGGTACCCTCGTTGGCCTTGCGGATCTCAGAGCCGCTCTCAAGGGCAAGCTTCTTCTCAGCCTGCTGAGCGAGGTAGTCGGCGTAGGAGATATGCTTCTCCTCGGGCTCCTCGGGCTCGACGGGAGCAGCGGCCTCGGCCTCGGCATCCTTGGCCTCGGCCTGGGCGATGGCCTCACCGGCAACCTCGTCCTTGCGCTCGGCCTCGCCCTCGGTGGCGCCCCAAGACTGAGCAGCCTGCTTCTCGGAACCGCTTCGCGGAAGGTCAGCACCTTGGCCGTTGCCAACGAGGCCAGACTCAAACTCACCTGACAATGTTCTTAGGCTGGCGGTCGTCACGCTCGCGAGGGAAGCGGCCACCGCGACCTAGTTTTGTTGTCAATACGAGGACGCCCTCATTCACCCTGCATCCGGTCTTGGAGCAAGGGGGGCGACAAGAAGACACGAACCTCCACGGGCGCGGGCACCGTAGCCACCACGAGGGCCACCCCTAGCGGGCTCTTCGGTGGTCTTGCCGCGGTTGCGGTCGCTGCCAGCACCGCGGTCGCGGAAAGCTGTCGACAAAGGATCGAGTAAGCGGGCCGAAGCACAAAGCGGGGTCTGCGCCTCCAAGGGCGGCGATTAATGATGGAGTCGACTTACCGGCCTCATTGCCAGAGACGTTGGTGCGGCGAGCACCAGTGTTACCGGCGGCACGGGTGGGAGCTTCGGGCTCGACACCTCGCTTGGTTGAACGCATGGTGGTCTTGTCAACCGTCTTCACGGGCGCCTGAGGAGTGTCATCCTCGGCATCGTTGCCTGTTGTGGGTTGGTTAGGGCATGGTTCAGATCGAGGATTCGTCGGGTATCGTTAAATCGAGGGAATTCATACCGAGGAGCTCGAACAGGTTCTGCAGAGACAATTGTTAGTCGGGATCATGAGGCCGAGCATCGTGGCACATAGAAACATTGAGGACGACGATCGGGGGTTGGGGAGCGGCAACAACAACAACAACAACGACGACGACGACGACTACGAGGTCGACGCACACACAAACACGCACCGCCCGCACACAACGACGAAGTAAAAAAAAAGTAATGACGAGGAAATAAATTCAAGTACAGAGGGAAAAGAGCGAGGCTCACCTTGCTTGCGACCGACATCTTGTCGCCTGGATTGTGGTGTACAATAGCGACCTAGTCTAGGATGATGATTGGGGTAAAAGACAAGGTTAGAACACCATGACCTGGCGGTGGTGGTGATGCTCAATGGGGGGGGGTATGGGCCAGTTGGTGCCGGTGCTATGGTGATGTTACGGATGGGGACTCTCAGGTGAAGAACCTGCGCGATGGGGCAATGGAGGGGGTTTTCCGGACGGGGACAAATCACAACAGCAAGCAGCACCACACGGCAATCTAAAAGGGAAGCGACGAAAAATAAAAACAAAATAAACAGCACAGAGCAAATTAGGTCAGGCACCAAGGGCACGCCAGCTCTGCCATGCCACCAATCGCAGGCCAGCATTGGGCACAGCACGGGCGGTACAGGCGCTGAGAGCGCCGTAAGGGCCTCTCCTTCTGGGTTCCCCCAAGATGATCGCTACTGTTGCGGGCTCGCTTAACAATTCTTCCAACCTCCATTTTTTTGTGTGTTGCCCGGCCCTTTTCAGTGCTCACAACCCAACCTTTTTAGGGTTCCAGACGCGCCTGCCTTTCCCCTCCTCCCCCTCTTCCTCCTCCTCCAAGGTGAGGGTCAAAGAAAAACAAGAAAAAAAAACTTTGGGTCGCCTTAGCGCAGTAAAATAAAGCCGGCTGGGCAGCCTCGGTCAATCTGAAGTCCCGGTGCCGAATTTCTAACATCGCCAGACTGGGTTCCGAGCTCAATCTAGACAATGAAAACAACACAACTACCGTCGTATTCGGTCGTTGTCGTCGCCCTCATGGATTGCGAAAGCCGATGCAAGAGGGAGGGGCGGGACTCTCGGCACGTTTCCATATCGTCCCTTATCTGCCGGTTGTAGCCCCAGCTCCATACGTTCCGGAACCTAAACCGTGCACAAAACTCTCGCCCGCAATTGCTGCCGCTGCCAGTGCTGGCTGACTCCTGGCAGCACCAGCCGTTGGTTCGACTGAAAAAAAGAGGGGAAAAGAGAGAGCGAGAGATGGAGATCCTACATGGGCGAACGATCGAGAAAGCTCTGTGCACCTTTTTGCCCTGACCTCTGAGCTCTTGAAACCCGGCCGTTGGTCGAAGCACGCCCTTTCCCCGGGTTCAAGACGCCAATGTCGTCTGAGTACAGGGAGGCTCCACAACATGAAGCTGGGGGAAATGTCTTTTTTGAGACGACGGTTCCGGTACTTGCCGTACTTGGATAACAATGCCTGGCCGATGACGATGGGTGTTTAGCACTTGTACCTCATATCCGGCTGTGGTTCAGGTGATCGCTGGCCGCTATTCCAAAGTTCTTTCGACGGTTGAAGAGCAAGTAGTAAGAGAAACAAGTACGCCCGAACGGCGCTCGTGCAAGAACCTCTCTGCGGGTCAGCCACCCTGATAACTTGAAGCGACCCCCCGGTCCTTTACAAGCAGTTTCGTCTGCTCAGGACGAGCATATCTGGCGTCGTGACAGTCAATCGGTGGCCGTTTGCGGTTTCCTGTCTTGTACAGTAAATTGTGGCGCAAGAAGGCAGGCACTGTTACACTTACACCGAACCCGGGCGAATCGTGGAAAGAGCGGGGCACTCGGGCAGCTTCACAGGCGCCGTGGAAAAGAGGATGTGATGATACCAACCTCCCTCTCAAAACTCCGACGTAGCTTCATCGAGAGGTGGCCGTAGATAAAGAGCCACTGCGTCCTCTTACGTGCCGCATTGAAAACGCATCAACTTGCTTGCAAAATATGATTGCGCTCCGAGAAGGATTCAGCCTGCCAACAAAGTCATTGTCGTGAGTTCAGGCGGCGCGTTGCCATTGACAAACAGGCAATGTCGCCCGCATACAGTCGCGGTTTCAAGAGAAACCACAGCGAATAAACCATGGGGTTAGCGTTGTATTTCTCACAGTCTCCAACTACACATAACGTGATGAAACACACAGCCCGTCGCCAACTGTCCATTGCCCGGCTCATTCATGTGAAAGCCGCCTACAAGAGAGAGGGAGGGGACAAAAATGCAAAAGACTGGGCCCGGTTGGGCCCGTCACACATGTAGTGCCAACACTGTGGATCGAACACAGGATCCCCGCATTACAAGTGCGATGCCTTACCACTTGGCCATGCTGGCGGTCGTGCATTGCATCTGCGGCCTCGCAATGGGGATTATCGAGGCTCCCCGTTCGACCGCCCCAGCTTTAGACCAACGTCACATGACACATACAAGGAACGGTTAGAGCATAGACAATGAGCCGAAGCCCGATTAAACTGCAAAAAAGGTAGTGATTAAATACAAGTAAGGTTTAAAAGTTGTTCAAAGAGTCTTAAGTCGCACCAAATGCCTTTTTTTAGGGGGAAAGGGGATAACTCCCCACCTGTCGTGTCCATGCCTAGGCGTTATCTCCGGGAGATGAGGGACGCACTCCTTAGTAGCCAGTGCCGAAGCTGCCGCACTTGTTGGCAGCAAACGAGACACGGTTCTCAGAAAGGCAGTCGTTGTACTGAATCTTGCACTTGTTGATGGCAACACTGTAAGAATCCGAGAAGAACCAGCGCTTGGCGAACTCGGGAGCACGGGCGTACACAACAGCATCATCGCGGCGGCCACGGCGGTTGTTGTAGGCCTTGCAGCCCTGGGCGTAAGTGTTCTGGCACTGATTGTACTGCTCCTGGCAGGCCTCTTGGCAAGCGTTGGGAACATTGTTGGATCCAAAGGACTTGCACGAGCGAGAGTCGGACTTGGTGTAAAGCTTAAACTTGTTTCCGGCCTTGAAGTCGGCGGCAATGTCGTTGCAGGTGACGAAGGGTATCTCAATGCCGCCAACGGGTTTGCCAGGTCCGTATCCGTACCAAAAGCTGCTGGGCTGTTTGCAAAGACCGGTAGGAGGAGGAGGGACAACAGTGGGGGCAGCGGAGACCGTCGAGGTAGGCTTGGAGGGGCAGGGAAAGGTAGAGACGGAGGTGGTGCCCGGCTTGTATCCCTTGGGGGCCTTCTTGACGAAGCAGTCCTTCTTGGAGCAGGAACCCTTGCCCTTGCAGCTGTTGGTGCAGTAGCTACCGATGTCGTTGCACCAGGCCTTGAAGTCCATGCAGCCAGCAGAGCCGGGCCATCCGGAGCCCAAGCAGGCGCTGACCTGGAGCTTGCAGCTGTTGGAGGCCTTGGTGCAACTGTCGGCATCGTCGAAGTCAGGAAGGTTCTTGTTGCACCAGTTGCCGCAACCGTACTCGCAAGTAGGGGGGGTCACGATAGTGGTGGTGCAGACCGCAGGAGCGGTGGTGGTCACGGCGGGCTTAGAGGTAGTAACAGGCTTGGTCGTGGTTGCAGGCTGGGTCGTGGTGACAGGCTTGGTCGTGGTCGGAACAGGAGCCTGGCTGGAGATGGTCGTGGGGACAGGCTGGGTCGTGGTCGGAACAGGAGCCTGGCTGGAGATGGTCGTGGGGACAGGCTGGGTCGTGGTCGGAACAGGAGCCTGGCTGGAGATGGTCGTGGGGACAGGCTGGGTCGTGGTCGGAACAGGAGCCTGGCTGGAGATGGTCGTAGGGACCACGTTGGTAGTGCTGGGGATGCTGACGGGGGGGAGAGGGGTGGTGCTGATGATGCTAATGGAAGAAGAGACCGAGTTGACGGGAGGCTTGTAGCCACATGGCTCAAGAGATCTGAGCTTGTTGGCGACAAAGATCTCGACACGGGCGGCTCCACCGCAAGTCTTGGTCTTGTCTCCATTGCAGAGAGTGTTGCACTCCTCTTTGGCAGCAGGCTTGGTGTAGTTGCCCATGACCACGCCGCAGTAGCACTCGCCGCCGTACTCAAGACCGGCAAAGGGGTAGCCGTCGTCGGCGCAAGCCTGCAAGCATGAAGAAGGAGTCATGGTGTCAAAGGCAACCTGGTCTTGGCGCTCGGCAATGGTGCGGCCATGGTCGGTGTCGTCGGTGTAGCAGCCGATGGATTCGTAATCGTTGATAGTGACGCCAGTGGAGGAAGGGAACGTAGTATCTTGCCAGATGGAGAAAGCACCATCGCCACCACATGTCTCGCTACTGTTGGCAGTGCATGGCATGTTGCAGCTTGCCTCGGGAAGAGAGGGGCTGTTGACAGTCTGGCCGCAGTAGCAAACACCGTAGTACGTCAGACCGGCATAGCGGTAACTGTTGCCTATCGAGGTGTTAACATGATCAACAGGTCAAGCGTGTTCGCAGGACGTACGTACCTTTGCAATCGGCAACACACTTCTCAACGGTGTTCTCAGACTGGTTAGATGAAGAGCGGAAGTCGAGGACAGGCTCCCCCAGGGTTCCCTTTTCTTGGAAGCAGCCAGAGTAGGCGAAGGGCTGGAAATCATCAAGGCATGGTGGCAGCTCGATGGTGGTCGCGGTGACCTGGGCCAGGAAGGCTGAGGCTGCGAAAGCAGCGAAGGCTCGAACGAGAGGAGCCATTGCAAAACGATAGTGATGGTGAAGGATTTGAAAGAATGACCAAATTCTATGCAAGCTAAAGAACAGGAGTGAGCGAATGTCTTCCCGGATAGGGTTGTGTGATGATCAAGTGAGACGATGTATGAATGGGAGGCATGGATGGACTCCATATATAGTCAAATTCCATCATATTGGGCTCACGATGGGCGGCTCAACTGCAATACAACCGGAGCGGTCGATGGAGTGGTGTCAGGTCGGCCAGGGCCAACGTCACGGCTAGAATGCTAGTGGCAAGTCCAAGGATTGATGGAGACGCTCGACGTTCGGTACTACCTTAGCTAGGTATTGCGTTGACTGCTCGCCGGTGTACACACAGACGGACGGCCTAATTACACGGAAAACACGGCAACGATAGCATACGGCGGGTGTTGGCGCAGGCACCCAGGTGCTAAAAATGCAGTACCATGTAGATGGGCAAGGAGCAGTAGGACGCCACAGCGCGAGGATGACGGAGGAACGCCAGAAAAACAACAGTAGCACCGGCAACCGGTGTAGTCACACCTGCGCCGACAAAGGTCTTTGCAGAAATGGTGGGTAAGGGCCATACTCTTTGAGGTCAACAAGCGTGGCCGATGATGTATGGGACACCCGCCAAACTGGGCCCGGACTGGCGACCAAGAATAATAGCCATGGGTCCGAGCAGACTGTGACCACGCTAGATGGAACGTGGGAGGAGAATGAATGGTCCAGGCTCTTTCCAACTGGCTGTAGTCGTCAGATCACGGTGGGATTGGTTTGCGGGCGAGTAGGCTACAGGCATCGCGGAAGAGGGCGGTCAGGGGTATTTCCCAAATAGGGAATAAATGGACCCACTTTCAGAGACACTGCTCGGTCTTATTGGGGCTGCTGAGGATAAGCTCAGTTCATCCCGTCCACCAGCGGCAGGTGAACAAGGGGGGGAAGGAGAAAAGGCTCGTACCTGCATATGCTACTAGTACTTGCAGATTAGGCTTAATCCCTCTCGACTGACGGCCTTTTCATCTTCCTCTATTCCACCTTCCCACCCAAGCGTCGCCCAGAGGTACCCTGAACCATTGTTTGGCGCTTCCCTGCTTCTAGCATGTCGTTAGACTCAATCTTTCGGGGAATCAATCGTCTGTACATGACCCACTAGTACAAGCCGACAGTGGGGTTGGATCTTGGCTTTTGCTCGAATCTGAATCAGGGGCAAATCACCAAGCCAAAAAACACACGCCGCTGCCGTCGTGTGGCATTGGAGAACGACCTACAAAGCCCAGAAGCCTCACTTGTCGACCGATCGTCTCGCCTTTACAGCAGAGGAAGATGGCAGATGTTCTGACACGTACCGGGTCCCTCGCCTGCTCCCGCTCCTCCCCTGCTCTCATCACCCTCGTTCTCGCAACCGGCCACCCCAGTTCTCTTAACCAACGTAACCCTAAAGCCAGCTTCGTACCAGCGTTGCACCGCTTGTGCGTCTAGCTCGGCCGAGTTGGTTCGTATAGCCTTGCTTGATGCGATGCAGCTGCAATATTCAATCGTACCCCAGGTTTCCGACCAGGCCATTGGGAAACCTCCGTATTGTTTGGCGTTGCCGTCGATAACAACACGGGCAAGGCTTCGACGCACGGGGCACACATACAGCATCTTTCCAACATATCCGTACATCCGCTCGGGCGAATTTTGAAGTTCCTCAGCGCTTAGGTAGGTAGCCTCATCGGACGACACGAAGACCCCGAAGGATGCTCTGGCACCGGCTCGCTCAAATTCCACACTCTGTGCTTGGTGTCCCATTTCCAATGACATGGATCCACAACGTCGGCACGAACAACGAGATTCACAGACAATGGAAGGAGAATCTCCGACCCAGAACAAAGGCACAGAAAAAAAAAAGACTACTGCTACTACTAAAAACCCCCCGCATCCAGGGGTTCGGCTGCCTCGCCAGGATGTTTACCGCTAGCAGGCCTGTTAGGCGAGAAGCTAGGCCGCCAAGACCTCAGCTTCAGGCGGGAACGACTGTCTAGGACCCTCGACTGAACAGTTGCAACTATTGGCATCCCGCAGCGCAGTGTACCGATACTCCGAATTCGAACCACGATCGGGAAGCGACCGAAGCCTCCCCATCCTTCACAACGGTGCGCCTTGCGATCTGTAGCACCCGTCATCGTTTCATGGCGGACTGTGGCTCGACACAAATCCGCGTTGATGAGTTATCGGGCGAAACTTTGTTTACTCCAGTGGTTTCGGGTCACATCAGGTCTTTCAACTCGATCGTACAACTATGCCATTACCATTGCCGATGTCTTTGTCAGTTTGCCATCGTTATGCCAAGAAGCGTGCCTCAAAGCGAATCAGAACGGATGGCGCCCCGTGGGAACTGCTCGCGTAAAGCTCCACAGCACTCAAACAAGCACAAGAGCCTTCCAACCATGGAAAGGTATCAATACATCCGAGCCAGCCCAATCTTCGGACGATGCTCGCCCGAACGCTACCGTCTCATGCAGAGCACTTCCCTCGTGACAACGGTCCCTTTGTGCATACAAGAAGCTTTGTCGAGTCTCTTGCGGCTCCTGCCAACGACGACTCGACAGAGAAAGCTGCGCCCTCCGTCACCGTCCATTGCATCGCCCCATATCAATGCAACTGGGCCACACACACCTGAGAAAACGCCGCTATTGACCCCTCTCTCAAGAAAAAGTGAGTTGCCGTGTCTGACCGCCCGTCACCGAGCGACGCCCGTTTACACTATAAAGAGCTAAGCGCTTCGTTAGTGGGGCCGCACTCGAGGCGCTCTGACCAATGCTCGTTTTAGGTAATCTAAGCGTCGATCCCGATGGTGCTGACGACCATGCCATCCCCCCTAATGCTGACATGGTTCTACCTGACCTCGTATAGACGGATACGACCAGAAGAGGTCTAGGCAAATGAAGCTTAATAGGACTCGGCCAACTGCCAGCAAACCCTCTCCCTAAGCTCAATCCGAACATGCAAATGCGACAGCCTTTCGCTACGTCCTAGCAGGGCCGGGGGCCTGGACCTGTCAGGCCGGCGACCTTCTTCTTGGCATACCTGAGTCGGGCATCTATCTAGTGTCTCCTGTCTGCTCAGACGTTCACGATGTTCGGCTCGGGGTTCGGGCAACCACCCGAATGTGAATCGCCCTTCCCTGACGAGGGAGGCTATCAGAAATACTCTTAGCCACCACATCCCCCTCTACTTGACTGTCACGGCTTGGCGATATACACCCTCCCGCGCCGTCATTGCCAAGAGGCAGCCGGGAGTAACCAGAACCGGCCTGATACCCCCCTCACCTATCACACTGGCATTCAAAAAGCAAGACGCCCGCTGGGGGCCTTCCCCAGTCCTGGTTAAGTCACGACAATGGAATCCCGTTCTCAAGCCGCCTCCCCGCAGGCATAGAGTCGCGTTGCAAGAGCAAACCGAAAAAAAAGGCTTCTTGTGTATAAGTGCAAGAAAATTGAATTCCAGCAAGAAGCTATGCTAAAAAGTCATGTCACGTTTCACCCCCGTCCTCATTGACGATTAAAGGCCATCTGTTACTTCCATTCCAGCTCCCCCCTCTGTAAGGAGGGAGACCATCCTCGTTGGGGGGGCTCTAGAGTACATCCTTTTTAAAACAACTTCCTGCCTAACCTAGAACGCCGATGCAGACTACAGTAACCACTCTTCGTTCTCCCATTTTCCATGACGAAAGACCTCGTCCCTCGAGACATTAAGCCTTGTCGCGGAGGTGACGGGGAACCCACTTGCCAGGGGCGCCCGACGGCTTGAGGGGCTCCGCCGGCGTGGCGGGCGAGGCGGTCCGCTCGGGGCGACCGTTCTCGCGGTCGTCACGACCGGAGCCACCCCGGTTAAGGGGAGCGCCGCCGGAGGCGGTGCGGGGCGGAGGCGCGCTGTCGCTGGCACCACCAGCGGCGGCCTTAGCGGCCTCACGCTCACGCCAGCTGGGCTTGTTGCCGGCAAGGTTGAGGCGGGGCGGTCCACCGGCACTGGGGCGGTCGCCGGATTCGGTACGCTCCACAGGAGCGGTGCGAGCAGGGGGTGCGCGGGCGGGCGGAGCCGAGTCTGCGTTGGCGGGGGAGGTAGGCTTGGCAGCGGCCTCGCGCTCGCGCCACTTGCCAGCGCCGGGCAGGTTGAGCGGGCGACGACCCTCGGAGCTGGAGGGCTCGGCGCCGCGCTCGGGCACACGGGAAAGTGGTGCCGTCCGCTGGGCTTCTCTTTCGGCCTTGCGACGGGCCAGGGCTTCTTCCTCGCGTCTCGCCTGGAGAGCGGCCTTCTCCAGACCTTCCTGGCGCTCCTTCTCGCGCTGCTCCTTGAGGCGCTGCAACTCGGCCCGCTTGGCCTCGGCGCGCTGCTCCTGTTCTTCTTTCTCCCTGGCGGCACGCTCCTCGGCCTCGCGCAGGACTCTCTCCTGCTCCTCGCGCTCGCGCTTCTCGCGGAGCTTGCGCTCGCGGTACTCCTTCTTGCGGGCAGCGATCTGCTTCTCAAGCTCTCTCTCGGCATCTCTGCGGCGCTTCTCAAACTCGTCGCGGCGACGCTCGTGGAGGTTGGAGCGGAATGACTCGTACTCGGGCATGAGACGGGTAAGGCGGTGCTTCAGCTCGACGCTCTCCTTGTGCTTGATCTCGGCCTCCTTCAGCGTCTGGGCCTTGACAGCCTCGTACGTGGCGCGGTCCTTCTCGATTTGCTTCTGGTAGTCCTCGCCAAGCTTCTTGGCCTCCTCCTTTCTGAACGCACGCTCCAAGTGGTCAATACGCTTCCAGACGATGCGGAGCTTCTCATTGACATCGTTCTTCTCGCGCTTGAGCTGCTCCAGCTTGATTGCGTGGATGGCGCCCGAGTCGAGGTTGTCGAGGTTCTCCAAGTCCAAGTCGATGGTCTTGGTACCAATCTTGAGGTCGGCAATCTGCTTCTTCAGCTCCTCCTTACGGACGCGGTCACGTTCGGCCTTCATGCGCTTTTCCTCACGCTCCTTCTGTTCAGCAGCAAGGCGCTTGTCCTCGGCGTCCTGGAGCAGTTGCTCACGGAGACGCTTCTGACGGGCGTTCTCTCTCTCCTTGCGGGCCTGGGCCTCGGAAGCCTCCTCCTTGCGCTTCTGGATAACATCTTTCCTGGCAAGGATAGCGTGGTGCTCCTGCTCGGCACCAGCACGAGCACGCTCCAGGGCAGCTTCCCTAGCGGCCACAAGAGACTGGTTGTAGCTGGGGTCGATGTAGAAGCAAGTGGTGTGAAGAGACTTAACAAGGCGGGTGAGTTGAGAGCGGACAATCTCCGATGGGGTGCTCTGGAGACGCTGAACAGAGCTACCGTCAGCCTCAGCGGAACCAGCGGCAGCCCCAGCGTGAGCAGCCTTAGCGGAAGAAAAGACATCGTTATCGAAGCTGAGGACACCGGTGGCGTGGTCCATGCGAATGGCGAGGTCACCCTTCTTGTTACCGTTCATAATGAACTTCTCAATGGTGCCACGAGTGACTTGAAAGGGTTCGGGGAACTGGGCCAGACGCTCAACGAAGCCCAGGTCGACGGTCTCGTACACCTGTGACAACTGTTGAAAGAGTCTGGTAAGGATGACCTGCTGAAGAGGCAGAATGTACTTCTCCATCTCGGCATCGGCACCGATCTTGGTCAAGATGGGAGAGATCTTCTGGCAGATGGAGAGGGGGTGAAAGTCGACCTCGAGGATGTTGTAAAGGTCGCGGATTTCGGGACGAGCGCGCTTCAGCATCTGCTTAGCAAGAGCGTCGCGGAAGAGGCCAGCACGAGTAGGGGCTTGGCTCATGCCGAGAAGGTGGGTAAGCCGAGCATTCTTGTTCTTCCTCGACTCATCGAAGTCGACCATGGCACCGCGGGAGCGGGTGGTGCTGATGACGGGAATGGCGAGAGCGGACAACAGCACGAACGAGGCGGCCTTCTGAAGGTCGCTCTCGGTAGCTGGGGGGTTGTCGGCCTTCTTACCCTGTCCGCTGGCGACGACGACAGCGGACTGGCGCAGGAGGGTGTAGTATCTGGACCAGGCGGCGGCGTGGAAGAGGTAGTTCTCGCCAACGAGGAAGATACGGGTGAGCTTCTCGTAGTAGTTGGCCATCATGATGTTCTTGGGAGGGCGCTTGCTGAGGTTGAGCAAGGTATGGATATCCTCAACGGAGCGGAAAGCCTCCTGCCAAAGCTCGAGCTCAACAGCAACGTTAAGCTGCTGGAAACGAGTCTCCAGGTGACGCTGCAGGGTGTCGGGATCGCTCAGGTTGATGGCGTGCATCTGGGCTGAGTACTTGGCGGCAGTCTGGACGTGGTTGCGGAGCAGCTCGCAAAGTCTGCGGAACTCAGTCTTTCTGGTGTACTTCAAGCAGAAGTCGAAGGCCTGCATGGCCGTGCTCTGGTAGAGGACCTCGAGACGGGCATTGTTGCGGAGGATGTCGAGAACGGTACGGTAGGCCTCCCAGAGAAACTTGAGCCACGGGGTGACGATGGCACGGTCGGTACGATCGCGGGACTGCTCGCCGGAGACGGTGGCGAGGAGGATAGACTCCGGGGTCTCGCTAGCCTCCAGGTCGTCGATATTGGCAGTAGAGGTGTTGGCCTCGATGCTGGATTGGACCTCGTCGGCCTTGGCCTGAGCGGCGGTAACCTTCTCGGCGGCCAGCTCAATAAACTTCTTGAGGACCAACTATATGTGTGGCCTTGTTAGCGACATTTGCCCTAGCCAAGATCCACGACAAACAAATGGCCTACCTCAATGGTGGCGACGTTGGTGTTCTGACTGATGTTCTTGTATTGATACAGAGCATCCTTGGCCAGCTTTCCCTTCTTCTGCTCGACGGAAAGCTCAACCAACAGGAGCATCACCGGCTCCAACGACGCGATGGGAACATTTCGGCTTCTCTTCGAGGTGATGTGCTCGTGGAGGAGGGTCAGCGCAGCCGGAACCTGGTTGACGCCGATGAGCTCATGGGCGCGTTTCAGGACATTTTCGGGTTTTTGATGGGGTGGAGGAGGCTATAGTATGTTGTCAGTACCGTTGTCTGTTTTCATTGGAAGCAAAGATGACGCCTCGTGGCAGTCAGGTCAGAGAGGGGTAGCGTCAAAATCGGGCGGAGAAATCTTGAGCGTAAGGTTGGGAGGGACCCAGAGGGCAAGGCAGAAGGGCTCACCATGATGGGCAACCTCCTCTGCGGGAAAATAGTATTCTCGAGAGGGTCTCTGGTGTGAGTAGTTGCGAGCGCAAGCCTTTGGGTGCGAGCGGGATATTGACTTGGCTGTCGCTCGAGGTGCGTTTGGCGTTGCTGAATAGAGGCGGATCACAGGAGGAATTTTTCAATTTCGTGTGTGGCCACTATGCGAGTCCTGAGGGGCTCGAGTGTCCGTGCATGGGACGAAACGAATATCACGTGATTTGGTTGATTATGTCAGCAAAGGCTGACTCTCGAATTACGGGCTTGTTCCCCCAGCCTTGAGATTTGGAGATTCACTGCGACAGGCCCCCATGTGTGTGAATTTACGCAGTACAGATGAGCAAAACGAATGCAAGCTACCGGCATCGGGCTTGGATGACCGAACCATTGACGTGATCAACGCCTGGTCGCTGATTAGTGATCATGAGAATGACCAAATACAGATTGCGTTCAAGCGGCGCGTCGTCTCCCAAAACCTTCATCCGTTCGGTGGGGTAGCTCGTTTACGATCTGTACCTCGATTTGCCAGCCCTGATAAACTTGTCTTCAAGGACTCTACCAACTTACTTTCGGAACCCCCTGTGCCTCCCCTGCACAGCCCGAGGTAGTCTGCAACTTCACACACTCTTCGGTAAACCGGCAGATTGAAGAGGCTGATTGGACCTGACTTTGAGGGGATGATTTACACATTCGTGGAAGAGTGTGCTAGCTTGGCTTTCCCAGACTGGACCAGTTGGTGCTTCACGGCAGGAGTGGGTGAGTGTGTCCGCAGGCTGGACCAAACCAGGAAAGGCCCGGTATCTAATCGGTCGGTCCATTGTATCTGTTGGCTACAGCCGTTGTCTCCCTTGGGCTTCTCCATTCGATTAGGTAGCGCTGCGTTCTTTGTCTGGCCGAGATGGGAAGGTTGTCAGACCGGCTGAATGCGTCACTTGGCGCTGAGAGTTCCGCGGTGTGTCACGATGCTAAACTCCTATCGATGCCTTATCATACAACAACCCTCACGAACAGTCTATTCAGGGCGCCGATTGGCTCCGGTACCGAAACTAGCCGGATATAGAATGCCGCACGAAGGGTGTAGATCCCTCGTACACAAAGTTGGCTGCGCCGAGTCAAAGTCAAATCGTGATGGCGGGTTTTGTACGGCGTTCTGGAAGAAAAATTGAGTTGCTGGCGGTGTTCGGCTCATGATGTCCAAGGTACGTAATGTTTGTGGACGCTTGACATCAAAACGACACATTACAATCGACCTCTGCTCAAGATGTTGCGTATCGTGGTGCGTGTAAGTGTATTCCTTGCTAGGTAGCCGACTACAGAGAAACCTAATTCTGGAACATTGCCCACGGGGGCCAGTCTCCAGCCAATCCCACCAAAGCTGTCCAACGCTGGATGGGTCCATGCAGAACATCACCCTCTCAAAATTACCTTCTCTGAGAGGTGACTGGAACCACAATGAAGACATCCCCGGCGGACCACTCGTGACAGCAGGTACTAATCGAGTGTGTACATACCGCCCTCACCGGCGACGCGCTATCAGGTACACTGCAACATACCGTCCGCACTCGTCAGTTTCGTAAACCACTAGCTATCAGGCTAACGGTGAAGGGTATAGCGGCCGCTGAGAAGCAACTAGCGTTACGGCAGAAACAGAGATCAGAAGTAGGGACCAGTCACGTGTTGCATACGCTAGCAGGAGGTTTAGGTGCAAGGCTGGCTGGCTGGGTCTGGGTGGGTTGACCGCCTGCTATCTGCAGCTTAGTGCGGTGTTTATACACTAGCTTCTACTGGTAATTCTCTAGCTATATTCAGCTAGCCTACCTACTAGTGGCTCACGAAACTGACGAGTGCGGACGGTATAGTAGGTCTGGTACCTACATTATTCTTGTGGGGGTTGAGACCAGGTTAGGTAGACCAGCAGCAAGCACGGCAGACGAGCAAGCGAGCAGCAGCTTACATGTATGATGAGGTTGGCAGTCCAGCCCGCCGACAGCTGGCACAGACTCTCGCTTCGCTTCGCTACGTACGTGCCGTGCAGGTGCCCTGCGGGCCGCCATGTAGGTACCTACATTGTTGGAGGGGACGGAGCAGTTGCTGCTTCCATGGCGCACCTGGTGGCCCTAGCGCGAGAGGTAACCTTGCCCTCTTTCCGTTCACGTTAGGGGAACCTTCCCACGCTCCGCAATCCAATTCAATCCCAGTCCCCGGTCCCTCTCTGTCTAGTAGTGCATGTCTCTCTCTGTCCTGTCCTGGTCCCCAATTGCTGGACCACTCTCCTGACCTTTCCCTCGTCCTCCCCCGTCGCCCGTCGTCCGTCCCGTCCTCTCCTTTGCTTTGCTTTCCCAAAACCAAAACCATTATCCGAGCAACCAACCTACCCATCTCGACGCTGGTAATCCTTCCCCCCAATCCAATCACCCCCCGACGCTCTTTTCTTTGTCGATTTGCTTCGATCGAAACCGGCCTCGGTCATTATCCCAATCCCCACCGCCGTCTCAGAGCTGTGAGTTTTTTGCCCCCCTCGACTATCCATTTAATTCCCGCCATCTCCCGCCCTGGATTGTGCTCGTACCACGGGGTGGTGGGAAATCGCGACAACAACCGCCAAAGCGGAGTCAAAGGAGGAAACTCTAATCAAACTGACACGATATGCTCTCTCAGCAGGACCGTTCTTCCAACAACACCACCACCGCCGGCGCCGAATCCTCTGTTGCAGCTGCCGCCGGCGCCACCACCACCGCAGCCTCCTCTTCCTCTCCTCGACAGCGGCAGGATCACGCTCATCAGCCTCGCTCCGACGACAAACAATCGCGACGGAAACCAGCCGACGCCTCTGTTACCGCCGTGTCGTCGTCGATCCCCTCGTCGTCCAAGTCTTCAGACCCACGAACCAAGGCTACAATGCCTCAATACACCTCGCGCGATGTCGGCGACCCGTCGCAGATCAAGAAAAACAAGCAATCGATGGCCGATCTCAAGTTGAGGCGATTGACCGAACTCAACAACCGCCTGCGCGAGGATCTTGAAAGGGAACGCATTCCTGTGAGCAATGCTTCTAAGAGGTAAGTTTCTTCTTCTTCATCATTAACACCACCTATCAAGATTGTGTCAATGTGCCGTCAATTGACTCATCGGGTGATGGCGACTGGATGAAGCGGGGACTAATTCATTTTCTACTAGCATCATTGCCTACTGTAACAGCACGAGGGACTACATGGTTCCGTCGGTTTGGGGCGCCGTTCCCCGCGGCGAAGATCCTTACGCACCACAACAAAGCGGCGGATGCTGTGTGGTGATGTAGAGCAACGGCTGTCAAGTGTTAGCGATGTCGGTATCGGAACAGCCGTGACCCCTTCGATCGCATTGTCATTTATTTTTGTTTATCGCGTGGGATACCAAACCCCCGAGGGCCATCGGGAACGCAGCAAAACCTCCTCCCGAAACAGCGAGCCGGCCCCCATCTTAGAACGGGAAAAAGACGGTGTTTTCATCCTTATTACTCGGTCGTGGAATCGACGGAATCCAAAAGTCCTAGACCAGCGCGGTGTCGAAGAGGAAGGCTATAAAAAGTTTTCTAACGATTGAGAAAGGGGGGAAAGGGACCGATATTGCCAGCCAAAAACATTTTTCTGCCCCCCCCTCGATGGATCAAGACGAAACGGCACGGGTAGCGACATGCGGGTCAGTAATATTTAGAGACGAACAGGCTCGATGAGGAGATGGGTGGAGGAAATAGGAAGCGAGGGGAGGAGCCGAAGAGTGAAGAGGCAACGGTCCCCGCTACGATAATGCTTCCATGCTGTTTTTTTTCTGTTGTCATTGGAGAGGAGGAAGTGGTCGGGGAGGCAGAACTTTTCGGCGGGCAGCTCTTCAGCATGTAATAATTATTTTGGTGTCCTGTACTCATTGTTTCTCTTTCTTGGGCCTGTCTCGTTTGCTTCCCCCCTTTTCCTACTATGTTTCGCACTGAGTGTGTGAATAGCCTCAATCCGTCAATCACATTGTCTTACCAAAATGAACAACGGGTGCTCATTACCGCTCGAGCTGATTGGTACCAGTGATCATTACAATTATCGACAAATAATGCGCCATGTATCACGTTTGAATGCTGGAAGAATTAGGGTTTCCCAGGGTAATTTCCAAAATGAAAAGGGTAAAAAAAGAACCCTTTCCCATGCCTGCCACCCCCGCGTTGCGCTCGTGGGACAACAAAATCACTCGGACCAGCGGTGGTACTATAACAGGTCATTTCAGCCAACCAATGGCCGTATTAGCGGGGGTCGGGGGCTTTAGCTGGCAGGCCAGAAACATAAATATAAACATGTTCTGGTTGAAGGGTGAGGCCGACCGTAAAGATGCAACCCAACCCAGACACAGGAAGCATATCCGTAGAAATCAGAGACATCAGCCCATCGCTAATCGAGTGGCAGCCTGGGGGGCTGGGGACTGAGAGCGAAAAAAAGAAAAAAAAAGAAGACGAAACAAACAGGAAGGCAAGTAAATGACCACGGCCCTATAAGTTAATTTGCGCGTATATTAAATCTCCCTGTAGCATGTTGGACAGTGTGACATCTTTGCTTAGGGCTGCTCTGTTTCTTAGATGAGGGGGGATCCGAGCCGGGCGCAGTCGTCCAAGAATCATGTCTCTCTCTCTCTCTCTCTTCGCTGTTCTTCGTATTGGTCGATTCCATTTGCGTCAATCAAACCGGGGGCAGAGACAGAGAGAAAGAGGGAGGGAGAGGGGGGAGGGAATGCGCGGGGATCGGCAGGATGGATACCTAGCGTTCAAGCCATAAAGAGGACGACTTCATTTCCGTCAGGGGTACATCGGGCGGGTTGCGGGTTCGTTGTTTGCTACGTTGTTTGCTACCTGCCCTTTCCCAACTGTAACTCCGCCGGGTCACTACTCGATACGATACGGAGCAGAGTCACTTTCAATTCCTCTCTTACTCGTACAACCTGTCCATCCCCCCTCCCCCGCTGCTACCTACCTACCCTACCTACACCGCGAGTCTCGTTGAGTCTTCCGTCCAACGTTGTCGCCCGGACGGGGTCCGTTTCCTTGGGATTCGTCTCCTTTGGCCAGCAGCTGTCCCCGCCCGCCCCCCTCAATTGGCCATGGATGAGCATCGCAATGGATGCGATTGGTCTGCTACCTAAAGAATGAGAGCTCACTGTGTGATTCATTCGGTGCTTTTCAGCAGTGCGTATATTTTCCAGCGACGAACGACGGCACACCAGTCTTCTGGCTTCGAACGTCGTAGGTACCATCCTTCTGCCGGCCCCCTGATCTTTCATTCACGTCTTTTCCGTGGCTCCACCCGTACCTGAACTGCTGCAGGGTGTTGGGGCCACATGCTGCCATCGCTGAGCCGGGGTGTGCTGCTTTTCTATGGGCCCAATTGTTTTTTATTTTTTTTATTTTTCCTGCATTCCTTCCTCCTAACGCAGGGGGGTTGCCGGGGGAGAACGTTTCCGGCCGAGTGATGAGCTGAGAGGACCGCCAGCTGAAATCTGAAGCTGACGGCTGGCAAAAACCTGCAACACAACCATATTTGGTCTCTGTTTCTAGTCTTTCCCCTCCGCCGGCGCTTTCTTTTCTTTGTCAGCCGAGTGACTTTTGCCCTCCCTTCTACTTCCTGATTGGCTGACTCTCCGCCGCATTGCACTTTTACCTGGCGACCTCCCACCACCCCTCACGTCTCGTCAGTGACGCCGATGACGCAGGACGACCTATGTGAGGCGCGATCCCCCCCATCCCATACCGTCATGCCGTCGTCCCGGACCTGTTACACAATCATAGGCGTGCAGCGCAGGCATTTGAGCATCGACAATCTTGCGAGGAAAGTGGCTCATCTAACATTCCTCGATAAAGCTTGTCCGCAGCTTTCTTTCTGGGTGTAAACAATTGCGGAACTTGCTGTTGGCGCACAATCTCTGCTGCTTTACTCTCGGAACCGAGCTTTCGGAGCTGACCTCTCACGTCAACGGGCGCAGACAATCGGGTTTATCCATTCGAGCGACTGATTCAGCAACCACCCGACGCCAGGGGACTAGTCAGTATCTCGCCGACTTGACGCTCCTGTCCACGCCCCCGTCTGAGCGAAATAGTCACATATTTTGGTACCTAACAATGGCCGAGTCAACGTCAGTCTCTGCACCGACGCTGCTGCCCCGCGTCGCCATCCAGTTCTGCACTCAGTGTAAGTGGATGCTCCGCGCGGCCTATGTAAGTCCAGCCCCAAAAGCAACCTGCCGGTTCTGCCTTTCCCTCTTGATTGGCGCCACCCATACGCGCGCCACCATCCGTACCTTGGACGTGGATGGTTGACTTGAGGTGACCTCATCCTTCTGACACAACCCCGGCACCTCTCGTCTCCTTGGCCTGTTAGACTCCCATCATCGCGATCTAAATCTCCCAACTAAATCATCATTTCACTCTCCCGTTACTTCCCCAATTCTGCTACATCGTCTTGAAGCTCTAATCCCGCTAACATACCCCCTTCAACTCCCAGTTTGCCCAGGAGCTGCTCTCGACATTCTCAACATCCATTGGCGAGGTTGCTCTCCAGCCCTCGACAGGCGGTACCTTTGTCGTTACCCTCACCCACCTCCCCGCCGGCGCCGAAACGGCCTCGACCACGGTCCTCTGGGACCGCAAGATCGAAGGGGGCTTCCCGGAGACCAAGGAGCTCAAGCGCCGCCTCCGAGACGTCATCCAGCCCGACAGGGACCTCGGCCACGTCGACCGTAAGCACGCGAAGCCGGCCGCAGACACGGCAACGGTCTCCGACACCCAAGCCTCGGACGCGGTAGCAGCTGCGCCGACAATGGCCCCCTCCGCCGCCCCGTCCGCCTCGGACGTCGTCTCCCAGCTGAAGAAGCACCCCGCTAATGCAAATAAGGCCCCTGCCCCCGTTGGCGGAGAGGAGAAGGGCCCCACCCTCAGTGACGAGGCCCGCGATGCCATCAGCGCTGCCCGCGCCAACACGGGGCAGAAGGCCAAGACTGAGATCACGCCCGCGGGCCATTTGCCGGGGCAGAAGTATGACGAGCCGCCGGCCAAGTTCAGCAAGAAGTGCGAGGACTGTGATTGAGCTACGCAAACCACCACTGTGAGCGTGCCGTCCGAGGAGACGAAAAGTAACAGTATTGGGCGGGCGAGGAGTTGACAGAGAGCATTCCGCGCCTTCTTGTCGTCCAGCGACTGTCGGTGGGGTGGGGAGGGGGGAGGGGACGGCGAAAGACGGCAGACGGCTGGAATGTGGGCGGTCGGCGGCGGTGGGCGGGACGCCCACACCACCAATGGTCTAATTAGACGGCCAGAGATGCGTGCCTCACGGACCCTTGCCGAGACCGCGGCTTTAGCTCGAACCAAGCAAGGTAGCCAGGCTTGGGTAGCTAGCGAATGTCGTGCCCAAAACCAAATTCCCTTGATTCACACGTCACGCAAAGGTCCATCACAGGGAAGGGGGGCGACCGAAAGTATAGGCTTTGCATTGTCATCACTAGCCGTAGTATCATCCTTTTGCGCGGCACCCAAGCGTGGACCCCGATCAGACCTAGCCGCGACAACAAAAAGCACACGCTTCATGCCTCGAGTGTACAGAGACCAGAGACTTGGGCCAGGATGCCAGACCCTTCCGTCCCGGGATCACCCAAATGGCGATCCCCGAAGTTGATGTCTCGGTACCCACCTCCGCTGTTGACCGACCAGATAGAAGCCTAGAGAGAGAAAATGAAAACAAGTAGTGAAAAAGTACAAACAAAAAAGACAAGGAGAAAAAGTTCTAGTAGCGGTCCGAAACCATTTCTGCCCCGTGAGAAAAACGAGTTCTGGTTGACCAACTGATGGAATCCTATCCCTTGACAACAGAATGCCAATCCTATCCCCGGCTTGGTCCCCGGCGTTCCGAGTGAAATTATAGTCATACAGGTGCTACTGTGCTGGAACCGAAGGACAGCGTCAGGGACGGCAATGCAACGGCCCCCAGTCTGAGACGCGAAGACGAAAAACTGTAGCTGGGACAGAGTGGGTGGCCATCGCCCATGTCACTGTAACCGCCTTAGACAGCTAGTTGTTAGCACGTAAACCGGCTGGCCGAGAAACAGTCTGGCAGCGATGCCTGCTCATGCTGGCGGCTGGTGAGGACAAAAGCCGTCATGAACGTCGCGTTGGCTCTGCTCTGGGTGCGTTATTGCGTGTAAATCACTCATTATTGGACCCCAGGCGAGTTCATGTCCACCTCGGGGTTTCGCACAGAGACACGAGAAACGTTGTGGTAGCCATTGCAAATTCCAGTTTTTTTGTGTGTTTTATCTTCAGCTACCAGAAAGCCGTAATCGTGAGCAGTTCGCACGGTTTATGGTCGGATGGGTGGGCTTGAGCAGAATCGGACAGGGTGGAGGGTTGACGGAGGGGGACCCATGAGGATTCCATAATGCGGGAGGGCGGAGGCGGGGACGAGAATCCCGCGTCGATGGGCAAAAAGGTCGTGTGGTCGAGATGGGTGGAGAGGCAATTAACGACGGCCGAACCTAGAAAGACGTGTATGTTCGTATAAACTCTTCAGAATCACTTGGAAGCGGATTTTCGGGGAGAAGTGACTGGTCGGCTGTTGCCTCCGAGAACACCAGGAACGTACTTTTGTTTCTTCTCAGCGGGTTTTAGGATCTGTGAGGGCGAGAGAGATGAGCAATGCGACCAAACGGACAGTAGTTTCAGCGTGTGTGGCTCACCTGGAACGAGCAGAGCAAGCTCTCGTCCACGCTCATCATAGCTCCAGCATTGTCAAACTCTCCACAGTAGTTTGGTGCGCTGAAGAGAGTGACCAGTTGACGCTTGGAGAAGAACTCGTAACCATCTTCCACGACCTGATGAGCGCGGCAGATCAGATCCATGTCGTGCTTCTGGAGGAACCGAGACACAACGTCGGGACCGAAGGTAAAAGAAACACCTCTGTCGTTTTCGCTCCAGCCCGTGATGTCCTTGTCGGGATCCGACCACAAAAGATCGCAGAGAAGACCGCAGTCAGGAATCTGCAGAATGACACATCAGTATTTTGAGAGCAACGACAAGCCAGGCCAAGGCTTGGCCACGAAAACAGGATTCAACATACGTCGGTGGGTCGCATGACGCGGCGAATCTGCTCCATGGAGTTCAGATCAGGGCTGAGACCACCGTGCATGGTGAAGATTTTCTCGTCAATGATGGCGGCAATGGGCAGGCAGTTGAAGCAGTCCGTAAATGTCTTCCATAGCTTAATGTTGTAGCGGCGCTTGCACTCATCGTAGAAACCGTAGATGCGGTTGATGGAAGCACACTCGTGGTTGCCGCGAAGAATGAAAAAGTTCTCGGGGTACTTGATCTTGTAGGCGAGCAACAGGCAGATGGTCTCGAGGGACTGCTTGCCACGATCGACGTAGTCACCAAGGAAGAGGTAGTTGGCCTCAGGAGGGAAGCCGCCGTACTCGAAGAGACGCAGCAGGTCGTAATATTGTCCGTGGATATCGCCGCAGATCTGAACGAGGGGTCGGCGTCAGCAGGTCTGTACTACCTAGGAGGGTTACGAAGCAAAGAGAAGACAGTGGCCAAACCGGGTCACTGAAGAAGGGGGGAAAAAAGCGTACTCACCTTGATCGGGGCCTCGAGCTCAAGGAGGATAGGCTGGGAGATGAAGATCTCACGAGCCTTGGTGCACAGGTAGCGAATCTCAGCCTCAAGAAGCTGGACTTGTTTGCCAGGACGGCTGCCTCGAACCTCGAGGAGACGGTCGATTATCGAGTCAAGGTCGACCTCATGTTGGTCCGCCATCTTTTATCCTCACCAGCCAGAAAGATGGCCCGCTGATACCGAGAAGGTGGTTCGCGACTGCGGCAAGCAAGAGTATTAGAGGGGTGTATGCTTTGCAACGGCCGGAGGCAAAGGATGCCCGGATTATGGGGACGATGCACTTCTCGGATCTGCGGCGAGCAGCACGTAATCAGCACGGCGCAACGCAGCCAGGTGTGATTGTCGGGGGGAGGGCTTGTTTGGAGGCAAGCGGCCAAATGGGCGATGTGGTGAGAAGGCAGGAGAGGGGAGAGCGCGAGCGGGACAGGGCGGTGGAAGGGACTTACGGCGAAGTGATCTCAGCTCTTGTAGGCCTTTCTTCCTGGAGGAGAGAAAGTGGCGACAGATGGATGGCTTGTTTGGGAATGTTCGCAGACCAAACTATGTGGTAGCGTCTCGCGTCGTCGATGAGAAAATTTTCGTCGTCCCTATGCGGGATCGAGTTCGCCTGTATGGGGTGGAAATCGCCGCTGAAATAGGGCCTTCTCGCTGTGTTGATAGCTTCGCCTTTATTTATTTTTCTTCTTCTTTATCAGTAGTCGCCGCAAAAGCCGGGAATGGCGGTGCGTGGATCGTGTGACTGATTGATCGTCGTTGTTTTGAATGTTTTTGAGAGATGAAAATCTCTGGTTCGCGTTGTCGTCTTGATTAGACGTATCGTCGCCGTTGGGATCAAGTATGGCCTCGTGGGGGGAAAGAGACTTTGGGTGGGAGGAGAGGTGAGGGTGGATTTGAGGGGAGGAGGATTTTCGTGTTTTGTGTTGGGCGGCGGCGGGCTGCTTGGTCGGAAAGGCAAGAGAGGAGCAGCAGGACCAGGCCAATCCAGTCCGGGAAGAGAGATGGAGGGATCGGTCTTTTCTGCGTCTGCGCCTGCGCCTGCGTAGGTGGGTGGGTGTGTGAGCGAGCGAGCGAAAGAGAGGCGTGAGGGGGGCCGCTCGTACTACAGGGGGTAGGCTAAAGAGGGATAGTGCTATGGGCACTAAGTGATCGCTGGTGGGTGTGGGTGGTGTAGATATTATGGGCTCCCTGAGAGCCAAAAACGCAGAAGAGGAAGCGAAACGAGATGCACGAGAGGCAAAATTTTTCTCGAAAGGGGTTCTCGGTTTTTTCTTTCTTTTACACAGTACGGCGTACAACGAGAGAGAACGAGCGAGCTCCTGTTTCCCGGAGGCAGCAGAGAACAGAGAAAAAGAGGCAGACGCCGAGGATCGTGTACGTGGGGTCAGGGATGGGGAGGAGATGCCGAAGGGCGAGAGAGCAAAAAAAAAAAAAAAAATTGAGGAAGAAGAAGAAAAAAATAATTGGGGTCAGTGAACGGTTTACATTTCCCCCCTTCCTCTTTCGCGCCAGATGCTGGTGCTCCGCTGCGCGCTCTTCCGCGTCTCGTCGTCCGTCTCTACTTATCCGTCAAGACCTGTCTGTATTGTTACCCAGGTCGGTAACTTGGGGGAAGTAAATGATGGCCAAGGTACCGTAGGCAGTTAAAGCAAGGCACTGCGCGCAAGGTACGTGCTGCTTGGGTTGGTAACCAACGTGGCTTGGAGATGATGCCAGCAGCCAATCCACCCAAAACACACCCACCCTAAGGTGTCCTCCTCTTGAAGCGTGCCGCCGAGTGCAGTGGGTGGTGTAAGTACCTACGTACGTAGGTACACCAGCATCGGCGCATCAGCAACGCCTCGTCCCGTTTCCCACGTCCCAGCACGCCAGCCAGCCGGTGAGGTCAGCAATCAGCCCGTCAACCAGTCAGGAAGCGTCGGGTTGAGCAGGTACGTTTCTATCGGCGACGGGAGGAATGGGAAGCGCGACTTGGGCGTGCGTAGCTGCGGCAGCAGGGGGGGGGGGGGTGGCCTGCCCTGCCGTCAACCGCAGACGTGCCTTCACTTTGCGATCGTGCCTTCCCTTCCCTGCCCTACCTAGGCGGTACCTCACCTTAGGTCGGTAGGTACCTTAACATGGTAGGCACCGTACCTGAGGGCCTTGACCCTGTACCTTCGGTACCGATGTAGGTAGGCATTGGGTATTGCCGCCTACCTCTCGACCGAATTCCCCAAGACCAACTAAGCTTCAGGAATGAAGTTTGGGTGGTGAAGGCACGCCAGGAGTAAAAACAGTAGATAATGGCTGAATGGCTGAATGGGTAGAGTTAGCTAGCTACTGCTACCTACCTATGCAGTACCCCAACTGACGGAACCAGGGGGGGGAAGGGCTGGTCGCACCGCAAAACAGAAAACGCCCTTTTTGCTTTCAAGGAAATGCAATGGCAAATCCAGCATGGAGATTTCGACACGCAGGTGCGATTGATTGCCAGTGCTACCTAGTCTGGGGCAACTTGCTGCCCACCTATGGAACAACTGGGAAAAGTTCCATGACCCAGCAACAAGGGTTGGCCACAGGGGACCTTGACGAGCCTGGAAGCTTGAGGCTCCTTTTCAATTGGGATTCTCAGTTTGGGCCTACACTATTCGTACACTACTAGTGACTAGTTAGTGCATGGGCACTGGGCCGTGGGCCGTGGGCCGTCGAGTGGACGTCGGGTTGGGGTAGGAAATGTCACGTCCCGGGGTCTCGAAGAGATGACAAACCCACCGGGCCACAGGGGACTTGGACATGCCGTGACGGCACCGTCGCACTGGGCGAGGCTTGCGGACGGGGGACTCGCCGCTGGAGCTGTTGCTAAACTTGTATCACGACGGCTTCCACATTGCGCGCGGGCTCAGCCTCCCCCTTGCCCGTGTTGTGTTGTGTTGTGGGAGATTCGCCGTCATCGTTCGTGCCTTAATTAGTCCCCACACCTGGTTGCTGCCGGTAGGTATTTTTGTTTACTCAAGATTGGCAGTGTTTCCTTCGACAAATACAATACACCATACCCCCCTTCACTGCAGCTAGATTTCGGTTCGCTTGGGCTGAGAAGAGATAAGATTGCCTGCCTCCTCAAGACGAGTTCGGGTGTTTGCAGCCACGCGCCGGCGATCCTTGGCCGGTGTTTTGCTCATCATTGCAGTATACCATCTATTCCCTGCTTTCTCACCATTTCACCTTATGCAAGCAAGTCTTCGTCCTGTCTACAAGCCACTCTTGAATCCCATTGCTTGACTGTCCAGTCGGCATCCCTCTCTCTCTCTCTTTTGTTACCCTTCGTTCCTTGGGCTTAGCACAGTGGCTTCTTAAGCTTTTTGGCTTCTGACATCTTTGCACGGACTTTGTTGGACCTCGCCGAACCTGACTCCGTCCTATATCGGCAATCTGTTGCTGGCCGCCACCACCACCGTTTTGTTGTTTGTGAACCCCTCCCAAGTGTTTCCGAAGCAGCCGTATCCATGCCGCCGCCCCCCTTTCGGCATATTCCTTCTACGTCTATGCGATCCGGAGACTCCTCCCTGAGCTACGTACACACAACACTATGATCATCAGGGTCCGACCCCGGATCAGGTTTTCGACGACGCCCACGTTGGACGGTCTGTTTGTTGCCTGTCCCCAAATTAAAGTATTCTCCGAGACCATCTTTCACCGCATTCATCTAAGCCTACAATGACTAGGTAGGTAGTCGCCAGCGCCCGCCTGCGAGTGTGTGCGTGCATATACGTGTCTTACGTCTCTAAGAGGAGAACTCTATCACTGTGGCAGCCCAAGACAACGACTCGTGCATCAATTCTCTACGCCTGTGGCTGCGGTGTTTCTGCACCCCGGCCATGCACCAGTCCGCATCTCATGTTTCCGGAACCTAAAGGAGAGGGGATTGCTCTCGAAACAAACAATACGTGTCTTGGCCGATGAGGAACAACATCTTAGTCCATGCTCTCGGCCGCCTCTAGTACCCCGAATCCTCCATCACGCTTGTTGGTGTTCCACTGGCCTATCGATATCATGATGAATGTCTCTTCACAAGCTTCCCCGCTTGCGACGGCCAGCTTGGATTGGGGAGAGAGGGTTACTGACTTTGAGATCAGCTGAACAGCCACGAGCCATTTCAACGCAAGACACTCCATTTCTTTTTGCTCGCGAAATTCACGTCTGACGTCTGGCTCCGTCCTTCAGCGGGGTTCTTCAGAAACCTTCCAGGTCTGCTAGGTGATAGGCCGGCCTGCCTTTGGAAGAAGATGCCATGGCTTACTCATGACTTCGCGGACCGACTCAGCGGAAAATGCATTGCTGGCCAAAATACACTACTGATAGCCACCCACCAATACCAAGACTCGCCATGCTGTCCGTCAACATATCCCAAGGGAGACTCTATCCCACGAGTTCGGCCCGTTATTTTCGATGTAACACCCGAGGCGAGGCTAAATAATTCAGTGTGCAACCTGGCCAGACCGGTCCTTGCAGACAATGGGGAAGCCAGTCGATCAGGATTCTGATCAGACGGGGGGCCATCGACGTGCCAAGATGGGCCAGCTCATACCCATCTTGTTCGCCGGCTCGATGCCTATTCGTCCCCTCGTCCGGAGAAGATACTTAGCACTTAGTTGCCAACCAAACACTGACGGCGGCTTCAAATAAATAGCCACCGATGCGCTCTGTGTTTCGACGACTTTGCACGGTCGCAGACCAGGGGGGGGCATCGTCCGTGGAGCAAATCCTGTCTGTCCAGTCAACGATGGGAACAGACAGCCAGACAGCCTCGCCGCAATCCAAGATAACTGACCGATCCTTTATAGTGTTCGGGACGTCCCAATTCCTTTCTCCTCCAGTCAGGGGCGGCGGGGGGGGGGCTAGACTTCCGCGCAGCCGGCTCGGAATTCAAGAACCGAATGGAGTCCAGAGACAGACGCCAGCTGCGGGAGAATCGGCAACCGAGTTAACAGCCAATGGGGACAACGAGGTCGATTACGTCAGTCATATTCCTATGTCTGCCTGGCAGTCAGCCTGCGTCGACGGACGACGTACAGGGTCGTGTCGTGCAGCGCAGACTTCCTTGGCAATCACTGCCTTCTCTCGCTCCATCTCCGCTCACTCAACTCCCGACTCTTCACTCCGCTGTG